GACAGACAGACAGACAGACGGGCAGACAGACAGACGGGCAGAAAGACAGACAGACGGGCAGACAGACAGACGGGCAGACAGACGGGCAGACAGACAGACTTTATTTGTGTCTCTACTCGTTACATTTCATAAACAAGGAACACACAAGTATATAATACCTTAAAAGTATTTGAAAACCTATTACCAAGATAACGAGCCACTCCAAACGGGGTTATGAGAGACTATAAGAAATTAAATAAAAATAGAATAAAATACGGATTCATGAATATGACAAAGTATGATTTCATCTAATTACAAGTGCAATACAAAGTTTCACAGATCTCTAAAGAAATAGAATCATGTAAATAGCAAAGTAAGATTTAACGTATATACACGTAAAACACAAAATATCTTTTAAATAAATATCTTGGTATAAAATACGTTACATACCAAACTAAAACTTAGATGGTTAAGATTTGTATAAAATTGAGGTTCCGGTAGCTAAAATAGTTTTGCAGAAGAGCTGAGGCGGTCGGGTAGGCCAGTGGGTAAACCGTTTGTTCATCGCGGGGAAGACCCGGGTTCAATTTCCTGCATGGTTACAATGTGTGAAGTCCATATCTGGTGTTCCCGCCCTATGGCCTTGAGTCAGCGAACTGTCCTGATTAGTACACAATTGATATAAACCAAACAAATGCCAAGTCTTTATTTGTTAATACTTGATGTACCTTGGTGTTATAGAAGCGAGAGTGTTTCGATTGGTGCAGACAAGAGCGTTCATTAGTTCAACATCGTTTCTGCAGGCACGGGTGTGCCCTTGTCTTAGTAGGAACAATAATTATTGGCGCAGACACGATTGTTTCATGGCTTAACAGAAACGATTGTGTTGGCAAGTGTGTTTCCTTGATTTACTAGAAACAATTGGTGCAAACAATAGTATCCCTGGCTTAAAAGAAACAATTGATGCAGACAAGAGCGTTTCTTTGGCTTAATAGAAACAATTGCTGCAGACAAGAGCGTTTCCCTGGTTTAATAGAAACAATTGCTGCTGACAATAGCGTTTCTCTGGCTTACTAGAAACACAGTCAAAAGCGTTTCCCTGGCTTAATGGAAATAATTGGCGAAGACAATAGTATCCTTGGTTTAATAGAAACAGTTGATGCAGACATTAGCGTTTCCCTGGCTTAATAGAAATAGTTGGTGCAAACAATAGTATCCTTGGCTTAATAGACACAAATGGTGCAGACAATAGCGTTTCTCTGGCTTACTAGAAACACTTGGTGCAGTTAAAAGCGTTTCCCTGGCTTAATAGAAATAATTGGTGGAAATAATAGTATCCTTGACTTAATAGAAACAATTGCTGCAGACAAGAGCGTTTCCCTGGCTTAATAGAAACAATTGCTGCAGACAATAGCGTTTCTCTAGCTTACTAGAAACACTTGGTGCAGTCAAAAGCGTTTCCCTGGCTTAATAGAAATAATTGGTGAAGACAATAGTATCCTTGGCTTAATAGAAACAATTGATGCAGATATTAGCGTTTCCTTGGCTTACTAGAAACAATTGGTGCAAACAATAGTATCCATGGCTTAAAAGGAACAATTGATGCAGACAAGAGCGTTTCTTTGGCTTAATAGAAACAATTGCTGCAGCCAAGAGCGTTTCCCTGGTTTAATAGAAACAATTGCTGCAGACAATAGCGTTTCTCTGGCTTACTAGAAACACAGTCAAAAGCGTTTCCCTGGCTTAATAGAAATAATTGGTGAAGACAATAGTATCCTTGGTTTAATAGAAACAGTTGATGCAGACATTAGCGTTTCCCTGGCTTAATAGAAATAGTTGGTGCAGACATTAGCGTTTCTCTGGCTTAATAGAAACAATTGCTGCAGACAAGAGCGTTTCTCTGGCTTAATAGAAACAATTGCTGCAGACAATAGCGTTTCTCTGGCTTACTAGAAACACTTGGTGCAGTCAAAAGCGTTTCCCTGGCTTAATAGAAATAATTGGTGGAAATAATAGTATCCTTGGCTTAATAGAAACAATTGCTGCAGACATTAGCGTTTCTCTGGCTTAATAGAAATAATTGATGCAGTCAAAAGCGTTTCCCTGGCTTAATAGAAATAATTGGTGAAGACAATAGTATCCTTGGCTTAATAGAATCAATTGCTGCAGACATAAGCGTTTCTCTGGCTTAATAGAAACACTTGGTGCAGTCAAAAGCGTTTCTCTGGCTTAATAGAAACAACTAGTGCCGACGATATCGTTTCCTTGGCTTAATAGAAACAATTGATGCAGTCAAAAGCGTTTCCCTGGCTTAATAGAAATAATTGCTGCAGACAAGAGCGTTTCTCTGGCCTACTAGAAATAATTGCTGCAGTCAAAAGCGTTTCCCTGGCTTAATAGAAATAATTTGGGCAGACAAGTTTCCTTGGCTTAATAGAAACAACTCGTTCAGACAAGATTGTTTCCTTGGTTTAATAGAAACAACTCGTTTAGACAAGATTGTTTCCTTGGCTTAATAGAAACAACTCGTTCAGACAAGATTGTTTCCTTTGCTTAATAGAAACAACTCGTTCAGACAAGATTGTTTCCTTTGCTTAATAGAAACAACTCGTTCAGACAAGATTGTTTCCTTGGCATAATAGAAACAACTCGTTCAGACAAGATTATTTCCTTGGCTTAATAGAAACAACTCGTTCAGACAAGATTGTTTCCTTGGCATAATAGAAACAACTCGTTCAGACAAGATTGTTTCCTTGGCATAATAGAAACAACTCGTTCAGACAAGATTGTTTCCTTGGCTTAGTAGAATCAACTCGTTCAGACAAGATTGTTTCCTTGGCTTAGTAGAAACAACTGGTTCAGACAAGATTGTTTCCTTGGCTTAATAGAAACAACTCGTTCAGATAAGATTGTTTCCTTGGCTTAATAGACTTAGTTGGTATCTCCACACAAATAGTCGTGTAATTCCTCTTCGAACTTAATCAAATGTCATTGTCGTCCAATACTCGACCATTTCAGTGTGTCAGAATGAATGTGTTTAAACAGACACTTATGTTTTGGTGTTACAATTTGGATCCTTTAGGGACCTGTATCATGCTAATTTCAACTAATCTCGAATGTCACCAGTCGTTAATTCAGTTACAAAGCCTCATGGCCTAATTCAGATGCCAAACTGGCATAAATGGTTTCGTGTTTTCCTTTAGTTTCATGAAGACATCGATATCTTCCCAAAGATGTTTAATCATTCATTATTCGGATAGCTTGTCATAGCATATTAAACATTATTAGAAACCGACAACATAGTTCTATTATAAACGTGTTTTTGTCATGTTATCTTGTCAACGCAAATGTTTATAGTTTGATCAATTTACTTGCTTCAGTTAATTGTCGCTACTACTATCTCATTTATTGCTAAGTTGAATATGTGTAGGTGTGTTTTCTGCATGGTATATTTCTTAAAATAAATTATTCCATTATTTGTTTTACAAAGAAAATGTTCACAGCTTGTTATAATATTTATATTGATAGGTGAGAAAATGACAAAATTAATATTTTATGGGTGGCGAAGTCACGAGTGAAAATGTCAACTTTAATTGTTGAGTCACGAGTCATAGCACTGTCAACTGACAAGAAAATACAAAGGTTCTGTTTATTTATTTAACATGTGTTTCACCCGAAGGCGTTAAAAGATGGTACTTGTTGATACCCTGTCTGGCGCTCGGCATTAAAGGGCTAAAACAAGAACTCGGCTCGGAGTAGGTATCCTGTGTCTGAGTGGGGTATTCATGTTAAACTACACACACACACACACACACACACACACACACACACACACACACACGTGTATATATATACATATGCATACACGTCGCTATGCAAGTGCAATAATCTTGGCCGCAACGTTATACCCCATTTCACCTCACCTCGCCTCACCTTCAGCATGAACCAACAATAATCCGCGTGAACAGGTAGTCAGTTTGTAATAGTCACCTTAATATGTAAGCCGGTGTGGCAGGGTTAAATCGCTACCCTTAAATTTCACTAGTAGTAGTAGTAGTAGTAGTAGTAGTAGTAGTAGTAGTATCGGAAGTATACCAAGCCATCACCAAATTGTTGATCTAAACTGACTGATTTGAGTTGAACAATGTTTTATTATTCAGTAGTATACATTCCTTACATATATTTATAAGTATATAGATTAAATAAAATACCTAAGGCTGATAACAAATATCCATTCTTTCAAGGAAATTGTATTACCTTTTATTAATCGATATCTTTCAATGCTTGTTTTATCACGCATAATATTTAATAGAGCTTTCAAGTCGTTTTTTTATGAAATCGTGACGTATAAATGAAGCATTTAAACCGTATATATAGCCAATTTAAAGATTTGGGTAATTAATTAATTAGGGTATGCAGAAAGTATAAGGGGTGCGTTTTCATCCAGCAAACGGGGACTGTTATGATCCAGGGGGAGTGATTTGATCCTGGGAGTGACCTGATCCTCCTACATCGGTAAGTTCATTCCTAGACAAACATTTAGTCTAAGAAATAAAGTTATCTTATTTCAATATATCAACAACAAAAAATCCAATGCCTGGATGGCTAAAGAAATCTTGACTAGCTTAATCATTCTGGACTTGAGTTGGAATGTTTTTTAAAATTTCTCTAGGGTCTGGGAGACAGACTAGTCAATTCCAGGCAGCACCGCTGTAATTTGTCCGCAAAAGACGCTCAACGCATGATGAGCATCACAGTCCAATTGGATTTTATGTTCGCTCCTCTAAATAATGCAGTTCACAATTCGTTTTTGAAATAGCAGCTGCTGTCTTTTTTCAACTGCGTTTTTCTTAAAATATACGTTTATGCAAATGATATTGAAAAACCCGTATCTATGCATTCCAGATGGATTTAATTACTGGAATTTAAGTCCGTAATATCACAAGTGAACAACAACTTGACCTTAGTGTTCCGTCAGAGAGTTACCTCCCTTAGAACACCTCTTCAAAATAACGATTAAGTTTGGTATCAACTTCCGGCGTCGTGTTGTGTAGAAATATTACTGTGATTTGTCAATAGAAAATGGGTAAAGATTTAAGTGAAGAACAGGGTAAGGCGTTTATCTGACGCATGTTGTTGGACTTATTTATCTCTGTGATTTCACGCTTCCACCGGGATGTTTTTTTTTCCACCAGGAACCAAATCGGTACTCTGCGGCATGGAGCTATCCCGGATATCGCCGTGAAATGCTCCCTAAACCTTGTGATATCCTTAACATGAGTCCTACATTTTACCGGGCGTAGCTCCTAGTCGCTGGCACCGGTTTCCCTGATATTACTTCCCTCCTCGATGTCTAGGTTTAGTTGTGGAAGTGTTCCGGTAGCTTACTGTCATTATCCCTTGATCTCCTCTCCTATCGACCAAGAGGCACGGGTGGCCCAGTCGTCTAAAGCGGCGCGATTAGGTGTGCAGAGTTGCGTCTCTTGGGCACGCCAGAACCCTATGATTGTGGGTTCGAATCCTGATTCGCCCCGATTATGTTTCTAGGTTTGTCATCACCATACCCGTGCTCGTGGGTTTCACCAAAGTGGTAAACGTCTGAGACCTGCATCACTTCGGGCTTTCCTCCCACATTAAGCTGACACGCCGCGATATAACTGCAATACTGTTAATAGCGGCGTTAAACCCAACTCGGGTATCGCCCTCAGTTTTTTAATTTATAAAAATGAATAAGAACTGCTGTTATCAATTTGTCATCTGCAAACTGACAAAAACCAATATTCCTAAAATTCAATCTTCACATGCCTATCCCTAACAATATGTATACTCGGACCCCATGGTACCGCGGCATTCATCGTATTGCGGCATTTGTGATTTCCAATAGTTCACGCGGGACACGCCTCTTAGCGGCTGTCTATTAATGCAAATCGGTAACCAGGAAGTGCTCACTTCGTAAACAATTTCAATTTCCTCGGAATGTTCGGTCTGCTGTAAGTAAGGAGTTATTAATCCGTTGATACATTTTTCTGGCATCTGTTGTAATATTGCCTTACCCCCATCTATCAATGGCCAACAATATAACCCGCAGTTCCCCATGTAAACTTTCTCTATCGACCTGAACTAGATCATCTGCATATTCATGGCGACTAATGAGGTAACAGAAGTTACATAGTCCGTACATTTTTCCCCGCTCTGTGCCCAGAATCTATTGGGAGATCATAAGGGCCATAATGACAAACTTAGAAATACGTTCTTCACTAGTAACCAAAAGATAAATACATACTTTGGGCATACTAGGAGTGCTTTTTATATATTTATTGTTGACTTTTAACATTTTTCCATTTTGTGACAAATTATTGTCATCCAATTTTTTTTAAACAATCTTAAAATATCATTTCTGATATTTTGTTGTTGACTTATAAAAATATTTTTCTCTTACTTTTCGGTAAAAATGCATTGAATACCTATTGCTGATAACACATTTAGAATTTTACTTGTGCTGTCTTTGCTCTTGTCTGGACAAATCACTGATGTCTGGCATGATCATATCAAGTGGTTGGTAGAATTATGTCCTCTTTTTGTCCAATTCGGACCTCCATACACAACTTTACCCTGTACCGCGATACGATGGAGTTCTCTCCCTTGTCAAACAGAGCGCGAGGCCCGGCTTTTACTCGGAGCTACTAATGTAAATAATGATCTTTTATCAGTAAAATATGCATTGTTTGATAAAATGAATGATATCTGATACAGAGAATACGAATAATCATAAAGGTTAGTGAGTGCATTTTGTTCCGTTTAGCGTACATGACAAGTAAAGCGATACCCCAAGGTTGCAGGCTACTATGGATTTCGTGATATCTACAGGTTAAGCATTTTTGGAAATATAGCTCAAATAGGTTTCAAAATTGTATTTTGGGCAAGAAATGACAGAGAAAGATAGAAAGCACTGACAGAACTGAAAGTTCATCATCGTATTGTTTGATTTATATTTCACGTGAATTAATCATGTGACACTGCCCTTGGGTCTTTTCTAAAGTTGTATTAGATATTCCATTACAGGAGTCTGTTTTGTTCATCATTTTCGGATAAATATTTCTCTCTTCTAATGAAAACAAGCAATAGTAAAATGAAATGTGACCATGTGCGTGCTATAACAGGGAGTTGGTGATATTTGGTCCTCCGCGATAACTAGTCGCTAGCCAGTTGTTGTTTCCTATCACACACCCCTTCACGATACTTAAGGTTGGCCACCCTTTGCCTCTTCACTCTTTTATCATCCAAATCGAGAACTAATTCTTAGTGATAGTACCCATGGTGCCATAGTTAAGTGTTGGCTAATTAAACAATTATTCTAGCCAAGCTTCAAGCTTGCAATTCTTGCCCCGACATGTTTACTCATGCAGTGCTCATTGAAGCTACAATCATGGATTGCTCACATTTCCCTGGTCACAAAGTAAGCAAACACACATGATGAGTTGAGATGTAAGTGTGTGCTGATCATGCTGATGTTTCTTTACAGAAAAGAACACCCAGGCATATGCCGCACTGGGCATCGGACTGATCTGTGTCATAGTTGGGCTGCCGTTGTGGTGGAAAACTACAGAGGTGTACCGGGTGCCTCTACCCTATGAGGAGATCACAACACTTGCAGCCACAAAGGTACAAAAGATGTTACAATATGAACTACTAATCGAATCAAAGGAATAATATTTATTAGTGTCCCATACAATATGTCTATATTAATAAGAATGTTAAACATGTCAATCTCTTTTCTCATATATCTCGAGTTGCACCATAGCTTTTTATAACCCGGCATATAATGCGGGGGGATATCGTCATCACCTGGTCTGTCTGTCCATCCGTATATTGTTTCCAGAGTATAACTTGTAAACCATGGTAAACTGTTAAAGATCTTTCATCTTTGTGAGTGTGTGTGGGGGGGATTTTGTAAAATAAAAAGGATTTATATTTGAAGAAAAAGACCAAATACCCTAATTTTAGATTTGCTAAAATACGATGCACTCATTTATTTTATCAGATTTGTTTTGGACTGTGAAGTCAGGGGTAGAGACTAACGCTTTTAACCATATAGTCCTTATAATGATAACATATAGGCAAAACTAGTTCTTATGATACCTTAACTATTGGCCAGTTTGGCAAGGACTACAGGACTAGTGCCAATTTCTAATGTTGTAATGAAGTATTTTATAGATCAATATTCCTGGTTATCGCCTGTTCACATATTTATGCATCATTTATACAGGTCGTGTCAATGTCCTGGCTCTGTTTCAGATTGAGTACCAGGTCAATGTAGAGGTGATCAGTTTTGATGGAAGCATAGATTTATCTCAGCTGAGCAAGGAGGTCCAATCAAGTCTATCATCAGGTATAAATGTTGATTTTTGACACATTGACGCAATAGATATAATATAGCATGATTTATGATCATGATGTTAGGTATTTGAATAGACAGGTCCACAAATGTCAATCAAACCTTAAAGTGTATACAATTCAGCCAATCAGATTGTGTATTTCTTGTGTGACATTGACCAAGGGAGCATCAGTTATTTTGTCGAACATTCAACGATGCATGTGGTCAGTGAGTGTATAGGGAGGTGCTAAGCTATGTTGGAGGACTGTGGACGGTTATCAATCTCATTAAAATCAGATCTTATTCTCGCTACCGCTAAACAAAGATCCGAGGACATCCCATTACTTGTCACGTCAGACCGATCTTGCGCGAACTTTGACCGACCAATAGAATGACCAATCAGAAGGCAGCTTTCTCGTGCTTCACGGCACAAATTTCAAATTGGCGACTACGCTTTGAAACATATTATGACAAATTCTCGATTACAAATTTGAAACCTGAACAAAAAAACATTCTGGAATGGCTAATGGTCTAGTTTTTAAGGATTCAGTTGTTAAACCCATAACTATCGTTCGGAATACCCCATGTTAAAGTTTTCGAGATTGCATGATTGCATATTCCGACTGTCACTTTCATAATCTGGTAAGCGACGCACTGATTGGTCGGATGAAAGGTCGTTCTGGCGTGACCCCTAATGGGATGTCCTCAGATCTTTGTTTAATGGTAGCGAGAACTAAGATCTGATTTTAATGAGATTGTGGACGACTTCTATATAATGATTAAGCTGAACGTTTAATGTAGAAAAGTCAAGTATCTTTTACATTATTGAATCAGTGGCTTTACATTGGTCTTTTGACAGTGTAACCCTATGTATTGAACAACTGCCCTTAATGGTAAAGGCATGGGAGTTTTTCCCATGTTTTCTGAGAAGGTGTGGCGTAGACTTGCTGGCAGGGCACAGTTGTTTGGTGTATTTAAAAATATATGTTGAGTGGCCCTCGCCAAACTCAGGACATCTCCCCAAGGGAAAGGGGTTAACTGACTATAAAAGTCCAGTTTCCACCCGTGCCAAACTAGGCTGGAATTCTGGAGTTACGTTTTGGCTGGACTATCGAGTCTATGCATAGTCCTATCAAAATCATGTAACGGACAAGACGTCCAGTTTGTAAACAACATGGATTTCAACATGCATTTAAGTCAACTGTAGGAATTACAAAGCATGTGTACCACGAACTGGGCATGTACAGATGTTTTGCAAATATTTTCATGCTTTTATTCAAGGTGCTCAAGTGATTTGATGCACTTAGTAAGGTAAGAGTGAGGCCCGTTTTATGACAATATACATCTTGATTATCAGTCAGATTGTCTTGACTTGGCACCGCCATTTTGTTTTGTATCAAGTGCAAGTGATATGATCATGATGGTAGGTGAAATCTGATTGGTCGTTAGCAGGGACATGGAAGGGACATAACTTGTAATAGTCACTGGTGGCTGATTAACCTGGAAATTCAGGCCTAGTTCAGCAAGGGTGGAAACTGGACTTTTATAGTCAGTTAATGCCCTTGCCCCAGGAAGATGGGTGTATTATTGCAATGTTCAATCATGCTTGAATTAAATGTCTTAAGACCTGCCACTTTCACATCCCTCTATCACATTCTACTGAGCAATATCTCGCTGTGATATACCAGCTGCTATGAGCAATGAGCCAGCATTGGTTGAAACATTTATAACGTCTGGACTATGTATACTTAAGTACACAGCATGTACAATGAGGACAAAGCTTTGTTGAGATGAAGATGTTTTTGTGACATTATTAATCATGTTAATAATCGTGTTTGTTTCAGAAAAAAAGAAGACACTTATACCAACCTACAGAATATCAGCCCGGGAACCAGTCAATGAAGAACTGGTTATGCTAAAAGTAGCCAGTTCTATAAAAGGTATTAGTTTCTTGTACAAGACCCGTGAAGATCCGGGGTAGAATAGGCCTCAGCAACCCATGCTTGCCGTAAAAGGCGACTATGCTTCTCTTAAGAGGCGACTAACGAGATTGGGTTGTCAGGCTCACTGACGTGGTTGATGCATGTCATGGTATCCCAATTGCGTAGATTGATGCTCATGATGTCAATCACTGGATTGTCTAGTCCAGACTTGATTAATTACTGACCGCTGTCATATAGCTGGAATATTGCTGAGTGCAGTGTTAAACAACAAACAGACAAACTTTAATACAAAAGACCAGTGGTTCAAAACATCCTGTCACATCATTCAGACGAAATGCTATTGTTAACAGTTGTTACCATATTGAATTATTCATGGTGTAGCTTAGTGGAAGAAGCATGGCTTGAGATGGTAATCCTAGGTTTGACCCCCACAATGTGTGAAGCTCTATCCAGAGTGCCCTGCCTTGGTTCTGTAGATTGGCAGGTAGTTTGTTTATTTGTTTTTTGTTTAATGCCACACTCAGCAGTATTCCAGCTATATTGTGGCAGCTGGTTTTGTGTGTGTATGTGCGTGTTGTTTAACGCTGCACTCAGCAATATTCTGGCAATACGAGGAATCTGCACCAGCCAGTCCAGTGATTAATATTATGAGCAGCCATCCATGCCACCAAGGTATGGTGACATGCTATTTGTCAAGTCATTGACCTGACCACCCAGTCCATCAAGTTGCCACTTCTAATCCTGAATCCCAAAAGAGTGTTACACACAATGTTTTTAGTCACATGAATTCTATATCATAATATATATTATTTGACTAACTGTACGTCGTTGTCTTGACCTGTTGCCTGCATTTGCTAGAGGAGCAATACTAACATTTTTATTATCAGAGTATCACAGATAACCATGTGTAGTTTCCTTGTTTCAGAACTCGACAGAAAGCTTACCAGTCATCTAGGAGGTGAACGAAATAAATACTTTGTTGTTTTACTGAAGGGGAAATCCAAGCTGATCACCACAAGAACATTCATTGGCTGCAATAGGATCACTTTCCTGAACCCTGCTGGCCAAGGTAGGCTGTTATAACACACGTCGATTGTAGACGTATTGAAAACATATATCACATGCTTTCTGCTTATGTTACTTTGAGTTTGTTGCGTCAGTGACAGTGTGTGAAATAATTAGCTGTTTTGCGGAACCATCAGCAATATTCCAGCTTTCTGACAGTGGTCTGTAAATAATTAACCTGGAGCAGACAAACAAATGGTTGATATGATGAGCAACGTCGTACACTGTGTAAGATGACAGGCAGTCAGCCAAGTCACAGAGCTTGCCAATCAATCCGCTTTAGTCATCTCTTACAGCATCATTAGCTTACTTGGAATCAATGTTTGGCAGGGATAGTGTTTGAAATCCTTGACTGCCTCCATGGTCTAGCGGTAGAACATCCAACCAGAGTGAGGAAGGTCGAGGGTTCGAACCTGTCTGCGTCATTCCTAAAGACGTTAAAAGATGGTTAAAAGATGGTACTTGTTGTTACCCTGTCTGGTGCTTGGCATTCAGGGGCTAAAACAGTATACTGTGTCTGGATAGGGTATTCATGTTAAACTGCGGTATCTCAGTGGCCACTCACACACACACATGCGTGCACGTGCATGTATGTCGCTATATAAGTGCAAAAATCTTGAACATGACGTAAAAACCCATTTCATCTCACCACCTCACCTTGATGTTCTTGAGCTGTATGTTTTAAGTCAGGGTCTTTGAAAATTGTAATATTTGCCTGAAAAGTTTGTATCTCCTGGGGTCTGTATGAAATCAAGTCTTCAGTCAAAGAACATGTACAGAATACTTTTTGTCGAACATATCTTCCATCTCCCCAGCATCTCTCTGACAAAATTTTTAGACTATCACAAGACATGCCTTGCAGGCTATTTAGTTGTGTTTTCTTGTGCCTGTGACTTCAGAGACCGCCTCCGTGGTCTAGAGGTAGAGCGTCCGCCCAGAGAGCGGAAGGTCCGGAGTTCGATCCCCGGCCGCGTCATACCGAAAGACGTTAAAAGATGGTACTTGTTGTTACCCTGTCTGACGCTCGGCATTAAGGGGCTAAAGCAAGGACTGGTCGGCTTGGAGTCAGTATACTGTGTCCGAGTGGGGTATTCATGTTAAACTGCGGCATGGTATCTCAGTGTGCTAGCACTATAAATCGGCATCAGTCCGCACTAGTACAAGCAGCAGACACACATACATGCACTTTGCTATATTAGTGCAATAATCTTGGACGCGATGTTAAACCCAATTTCACCTCACCTCACCTCACCTCACTTGTAACTTCAGATGTGGCCACACTGGGCAGGGCGGTGTCCTCCGTGCTGAAGGATGTGATCGTCAGGGAGGCTGCAGTGAAGAAGAGTCTCATTGCTGCTAAAGGGGCAAGGTCTTTGAAGGTAATGAGGTTACCATGGTTACTGCAAATGTCTTGATTATCATCACAATTGTGTGTTTGTGGTAAACTGTAAAGGAGGTCGATGGTGATCGGTAATGTACCTCAATATATACTTGGTCCTTAACCAGTGTTAACTTCTTTTGAGTAGTATATATTCTGTATGCTTTTGAGTAGGACTGTGACTAAAAAATGTGTCAAAATATGGTGCACATCTTGATAGTAAGGTTACTGTGGGCTACACTATGAGTTATATTTGTAACTGGCCATAAGAGTGAATGAGCGGTCGGGTAGCCTTATGGTTAAAGTGTTGGGCCGTCACACTGAAGACCCGGGTTCGATTTTCCACATGGGTACTATAACCTACCTCCCTCCCTCCCTCACTCACTCACTCACTCACTCACTCACTCACTCACTCACTCACTCACTCACTCACTCACTCACTCACTCACTCACTCACTCACTCACTCACTCACTCACTCACTCACTCACTCACTCACTCACTCACTCACTCCACCCACCTTATATACAGCGATATACAGTATTTCATTTTGTAGCCCTACATGGGAAGGCCTCCATGAATTGTCTCCAATGATCATCTGATGTTTGAGCGTTTGGCATGCTTGAAAATGTAGTGATTTGTTCGGCTTTTCTGTCATTAAGCATGTTAAACTTGTTTGTTTTCTTTGCATGTTTTTTTATTAATTTATCGTGTTTGATCTGTTTCCTGTAACTTGTGTTTTTATTTATTGCTATTTAGCCTGACAAGGAGAGCATGAGGTCGCTAAGGTCAACGCCAGGATATGATATGACCTTCACCTTGGTGAACCCTCAGCCAGACATTCTGGACGTACAGTGGGACATCAAGGCTGGGATTGGTGGTATGTACACTAGGTCCTGAACATACGACTAAATGGAAACATAAAAATCTATTGCCCCGGCATATTATGCAGAATATGGTGGTCAGTGGTATTGTGCTTGAATTGAAAGTATCATGCAGTTATCTTGGAATGTTGTACTGATATTGACAATAGCTGAGAACCAGTAATGTACAGAGTTATGTAACTTGGGTGTCCTAGGATCCTATGATGGTCTGTTCGAATCCCAGATTGGTTCATTGCTAATGTTCTTGACCACTACTGAACTGCATGATGAAACCAGTTGAAAGTTCATCTCATTGCATCATTTTCAGTGTTTGTCAAAAGTAACACAATTGTGTTTGTGTTGCAGCTTATCTGAAACCATTCCTGAGTAAGCTGGATGCCTTTGCAGACTTTACCCTGACGTCACAGGTGAGTTGTCAGGGAGTCCAGATACATGGTCATGTGTTGTCTATATTTGTCGAATTCGGGAAGTGGGTTTTCATATTTCCACTGGGGGCGGTCAGGTAGCCTAGTGGTTGAAGCGTTCGCTCGTCACGCCGAAGACCAAGGTTTGATTCCCGGCATGGGTACAATGTGTGAGGCCCATTTCTGGTGTCCCCGCCGTGATATTGCTAGAATATTGCTAAAAGCGGCGTAAAACCATGCTCACTCACTCATATTTCCACTGGGTAGGTGTTAGACTACTTAGAACAAACCGTGTGATTGAATGCTAAGGCTGGAACACATAATGGTACATGGCAGGGTTGTCCCTTGCTGCTTGTGGGTGATGCTAGAATCTGTTGCAGTCAAGTCAGCGTATATGAATTTATTACCTACAAGGGCAAACATATCGGGGTTCATGAAAAAGATATGTGACCTAGGGTCATATCACGTCATGTGTTGTTTCCATCATCTTGCGGCATTGTTGACATCATTCAAATCTTATTGTGACGTGAGGTTGGAAATATAATAATTTTGTTGTTGTGAAGACTGAGCACACAATGTCATTAAGAATATATACACAAGAATATTCATGATCCATGCCTTTTTTTTCAGTATACATATGTCATTTTACCCCACCCTATCATCAGTAAGAGAAGGGGGCAAAACAGTTTGTGGGAACCCGGGCCAGGTTACAGGTTACTGTTCCCGGTTGGGTGTTACAGGTCATATTGCCATGTCAGGTGTTACAGGTCATATTGCCAGGTCAGGTGTGTTACAGGTCATATTACCAGGTCAGGTGTTACAGGACATATTGCTAGGTTGATTGTTACATGTGATATTGCCAGGTTGGGTGTTACAGGTCATATTACCAGGTCAGGTGTTACAGGACATATTGCTAGGTTGATTGTTACATGTGATATTGCCAGGTTGGGTGTTACAGGTCATATGTCCAGGTCAGGTGTTACAGGACATATTGCTAGGTTGATTGTTACATGTGATATTGCCAGGTTGGGTGTTACAGGTCATATTACCAGGTCAGGTGTTACAGGACATATTGCTAGGTTGGTTGTTACATGTGATATTGCCAGGTTGGGTGTTACAGGACATATTGCCAGGTCGGTTGTTACAGGTCATATTGCCAGGTTGGTTGTTACAGGTCATATTGCCATGTCAGGTGTTACAGGTCATATTGCCATGTCAGGTGTTACAGGTCATATTGCCAGGTTGGTTGTTACAGGTCATATTGCCATGTCAGGTGTTACTGGTCATATTGCCAGGTTGGGTGTAACAGGTCATATGGCCAGGTCAGGTGTTACAGGTCATATTGCCATGTCAGGTGTTACAGGTCATATCGCCAGGTCTTATGATCTTTCTCAGTGACTTTAATAATTGCGTGTCATGGTATCCCAATTAACGGGTCGTCATTATATAGCTAGAATAGTGCTGATCAACAAATAATTGGTGAAAGGGAGTGAAACATTATTTTTGTCCTTTTTACCTCATCCTTTGATATGTACAGTCAGGCAGTTCTTTCATATGCTAAATTAAATACTTATACATAATATCCTGAACTAGGAAAGTCAAGAAAGATGGGTGGGGTTGATGATTGTGTCTGCGGACCTCAATAACCCCTGCTACTAGGACCCTGTATCCATCTCTGCCTGTCTGATCACATGTAACCAATGTGATATCTCCCCAGGCAAGTGAGTTATGTCTCTGCTCACCCAGCAGTGAGTGGGTACCCGGTAGGATGAGATGGTAGTGTGACTGTTAACCTTCTAGCACCTAATGGGCAGCTTGGGTTGTATACTCCCCAGGGTGCTGAGAATGAAAATCGAGGCACACTGATCCATAATGTTTACACTTTGAGCATGCACCGAGTGTATAGAGGCAAGCTCATTATAACTACTCACATTAGTGTTGGTAATCAGCTTGTGAGTGAGTGAGTGAGTGAGTACGGTTTTACGCTGCTTTTAGCAATATTCCAGCAATATCACGGCGGGGGACACCAGAAATGGGCTTCACACATTTTACCCATGTCGGGAATCGAACCCGGGTCTTCGGCGTGACGAGCAAACGCTTAAACCACTAGGCTACCCAATCATCAGCTTGTTAGAGAACTGGGGGATGTTGTAGGTCCTGTACTTTACGGGTCTGATGCGTCGCCCGCAGAGGAACACGGTGACCGGGGACTCCTTCTACACAGAGCAGGACCTGCCTCATCTCATCACACCACTGGAGTCCAAACTAGGTAAGAACTCATCTTCTGTAGATTCTTTTCTGTTTGTGTTCTGTACGGAGTTGCTTCCCTTAGCCTGGGCAGGATCTGCCTGAATCCTAGATTTGCCTAAATTACGATCCTCAGCATTTCTTCACCAGTGCTGACATGCTGTGATCACTCCTCTGTATTTGTATTCCTATAAGTCCTGGTCAGGTTTCGTAACTCCCATAGTTTTGCATAGACTTCCGCCAATCGTAGAGCTACAATCGCTTCATGGAAAGGTGCCCTGGTTAATAGAAAGGTTATGGACTGACCATTGGACATTCTGGTAGGGGAAGGGCTGGGATTTCTTTCAAGAAGATAATTTGTCCTGGGGTGTTACCCCCTGAAATAAATTATTTGCTCTAACATGTCCTGAATAAAAATTTGTCGTGAACAAAATCATTTGTTTGGAATGTTGCTTATAATGTCAGGCACTGGATTGTCAGTCCCAGAAATGATTATTTAAATGCCATTGTCATATAGTAGGAATATATCTGGGTGCAGCTTTAATTAAAAAACAAATTAAGAAACGTCAACCCAACATACTTGTATGCCCTGTCCTGTTATGTTCCTGATTGCTTGTTCTGTGGACAGGTTCCCACACCTCCAACAACCCTGCGCTGAACTTCCTAGTGTACATACCCACACGAGACCAGAGTCCACTCTACGTCAAGGATAAATCAGGTAATTGTTGTCTAGTGTACATACCCACACGAGACCAGAGTCCACTCTACGTCAAGGATAAATCAGGTAATTGTTGTCTAGTGTACATACTGATCGAGTTCAAGACCACTCTGAGTCAAGGATGATGCATATCATCGTATCCAAATTGCGTAGATTAATGCTCATGATGCTGACCACAGAAATGTCTGGTCCAGACTCAATTACTTACAGACCACCATCATATAGCTGGAATATTGCTGAGTGCGACGTTAAACAAGGAACAAGCAAACAAAACAACAGGCTGTACTGATGGTCCTCTATTTCAGACAAAGCCGTTGCCAGCAATGCATTCTTCAGTCCTCGGTGGGGAGGGATCTGGATATCCAACGCGGAGGTCCCCCCCAACTCCAGTCTTCCCCACCCCGTCAACATTGATGTCAGGAAGATGATGGAGGTGTTCATCACTCAGATGCGGATGTTGCTCAACCTGCAGGCCCAGGTAGGGATTGTGGATGTTTAATCAGCCACTCATTTACAGTCACTCATTTACACTCAGTCACTCATTTGAGGTCAGTCCATCACTCATTTACAGGCTGTCCATCACTCATTTACAGGCAGTCCATCACTCATTAACAGGCAGTCCATCAATCATTAACAGGCAGTCACTCATTTTCAGTCAGTCCATCACTCATTTGCGGGCAGTCACTCATTTACAGTCAGTTAGTCACTCATTTACAGTCAGTCCATCACTCATTTACAGGCAGTTAGTCACTCATTTACAGTCAGTCCATCACTCATTTACAGGCAGTCACTCATTTACAGTCAGTCCATCACTCATTTACAGGCAGTCACTCATTTACAGTCAGTCCATCACTCATTTACAGGCAGTGTCTCATCTACTTTCTGTCACTAGTTTACAGTCAGTCACTCATTTTCCAGTCAGCATATATGTTCTTCCTTCTCAGTGTTGCAAGAATGTAATGTTTGTCTCTCACAATATTTCACATCAAGAGTAAATCTCAAAAGAATGTAGTGTGACATGAGCCTTTTCTGACCCACTGAAAGTGGACGTTTTTTTAACAAAGTAAACTTTTAAATATTATTATAAACATGATGAAAGGTAATAGACATATTCTAATGACTTACAAGTACTATGAAATCAACTCCTGGGATGAAGGGCACGGCTACACATATATGATGATTCTTGGGCCACTGCCACCGTATAATATCCCCCCAAAAGTGGCCTTGTTCTTAGAAAATGCTGCGGTTAAGAAAAAGGTTTGGCTTCTCCTTGCACATGTCTCAAAGAAAAATCCCATCCCCCGGGTCCCAGCTCAAACAGCAGTTGTAGCGCCATGACTGTCGCTAGTCTGTGGTACAGTATGAGTTACGATCGTCTTAGCTCTATGACTGCTTTGTGGAACAGGGCCCAGAATACGGGCCTTTACCTACATCTCTAAGAAAGCGATGTTTGTATATTACATGACTCTCTGTATGGCTAAAATATTGCAGGTGGCCAGTGTCGATCTGTCGTTTGCTGATCTGGAGAACCAGGGCATCACAGCATGGGTAAGTGTTGGGTAACTTGCATTATTACCCCTTCAAATGTGGAAATAGGTAAAGTTATTTTCAGTAATTCTCACTGAGTATTAGAATTATTGCTTCATGCTGATTCTCGATCCTTCAAATTGTTCCATTATTTTCATAGTTTGTGAAGAATGCCCTATCAATTGTTTGATCTCCAGCAGCATCATACTACAAGATGCTACAAGATGGTACTTGTTGTTACCCTGCCTCGTACTCGGTATTAAGGGGATGAAACAAGGACTGGTCGGCTCGGAGTCCATATAATGTGTCTGAGTTGGGTATTCATGTTAAACTGCAGCATGGTATCTCAGTGGGCTAGCACTATAAAACTGGCATTAGTCTGGACTAGTACAAGCAGCCACACACACGTGCATGCACACCACTATATACTTGATATGAGTGCAATCTTCTTCAATGTGACATTAAACCCCATTTCACCCCAGCTCAACAAATTGTTTTATTCCAACAATAAACTAAGCATGCTAAGCAGCAATCTCCACTTGAGATCAGGAAACCCACATTTTTCTACATTTTTTAAAAGACTGGGTAATATCAAGAATAACTTACCTCTGTTGGAACTATGCATTTGTGATTGAGTGAGTTGGGTTTAAGGCCGCTTTGAACAGTATTCCAGTTTTGTGTCAGCTGAATGTGGGAGGAAAGACCACAGTGACACAGGTTTTAGAAGTGAAACCCACAAGCATGCGTATGGTTATGGAAAACCTAGAAACATAATCTGGGCGACCAGGTATTTGATCATAGGTTTCTGGTGTGCCCAAGGGAGGCAACTCTGGCACGTGAGACGACTAGGCTACCCGTGCCCCCCACAACTCAATAGAGGAAATGTTGTAAGGGTATAAATCAGCATTGTTTCGTTCTGTGCAGGAGGTGGACGCATGGTTGAGGAGCTTCTGTGTGGAGAACATCGCCACATCGGCAGGGACGTTGTCCTCCCTCGCTCAGCTGCTGGGGGAGATCGGCAACATCGTCATTAAAGATGACATCGGCACTGAGGTAGGTTTCACCAATGCTCGTTATTGTTATACTTAACCAACTTTTTTATTCTCCAGTTTACAAAAAACGAGTTATGATCAGATAATGAACTGGTCACATTTAAAACAAATGGTTTGCCCGCCCACTTCCATCTTTAAAGGATTAGAATAAGGTACAACTCGAAAAAGCATAAAGGTTACAGTGAAATCTGACTGTAAACTTTTTAAATAATAATTGATTAATTGCATTATGCATACATGCGTTTAATGCTTCACTTAACAATATTCCAGCTATGTGAAGGCAGCCTGTAAATAATCTAGCCTGGAACAAAACAATCCAATGATTTATATCATGAGCAACGATCTGCGCCATCAGGGCATGTTGACATGCAATCAAGTCAGCGAGCCTGACCACCCGCTCCATTTAGTCTTCCTTTATGACCAGCATAGGTTGCTGGGGTCCTATTCAGACCTAGAATCCCCATGGTGCTCGCTCAGTTTAGTCACCCATTATGACTAGCAATAAGTGCTGAAGACACATTCTACCCCAGGTCCCCACGGGGTAGTGTATGTAGTTTCTGGCTACTGTGAACAGTTGTTACAGACAAGCCTTCTGAGAACATGTAGGACTGAATAAATTCAATACTGTAAAATTACTAAACATTACACACTAACACCACACTCTTTTACAGTATTAGCATTTGTTTTTTCCAATTAAACTTGACCCAAGCACATTCTAATTTCTTATCAAAGATCCCAAAACAACTAACATGGGACCACGATTTATATCCTGATTAGACAGCAGCATGGATTAAAAAGAATTCTGATTCTAGCAAAGATATCTTTTGCAAAGTGAACAGTCAACATGGTCTAGATCGAAGATGTGTACCTGTATGATAAAAAGTAAATAATACATATATGTATGTGCATACCGTTGTAGCCAGAGAGGGGGCGGTCGGGGAGCCAAGTGGTTAAAGCGTTCGCTCGTCACGCCGAAGACCCAGGTTCGATTCCCGACATGGGTACAATGTGTGAAGCCCATTTCTGGTGTCCCCCGCCGTGATATTGCTGGAATATTGCTAAAAGCGGCATAAAACCATACTCACTCACTCACTGTAGCCAGAGAGCGCCTAAAGACTTACATTCTTGTCTGCATTTTCATGTGCCACGATCCATTGATCACTTGCTGTGAGAAAGTCAGTTAATTGGGGAGCATCAATTACATGATAAAATGTCCATTGTCACAGATTTTCAGTCTAGAATCCTGAGAGAAGGAAGTCTGTATTAGCAGTTTAAACAGATTTTACTTGAATGAATGTAGTAAGATCGGGATGGTGGATCCAGTATTGACAGAGATCCGGATTAGCCAGGGTTTGGTTTAGAAAGATTCCATGATATGAAGGAGTTTTAGGATGATAGTATTTTATGGCTGCCATATTGCAGGTGAAATCGTCCGTGGCAGCCATCAGGGAGAGTCTGAGACAGCTGGCCGAGGGGCAACTAGAGGAAGCGTTTCTCTCCTCCAAGAAGGCCCTCATAGCTTCAGGTGAGTTGCCAGCCATGTTATTATCCCCGCCACGAAGTGGAAGGGGGATATAGGAATGGGTGCTGTCCGTCCGTCACGTTTTGTTTCTGGAGCAGAGCTCAAAAACCTTAACCAAACTTGGCACATATATAGGTCTAGTGGTGAGCTGGTGTCATGTCATGTTGGTGGGAGATTTGAGTATTTCATTATTTTATGTGTTTCTCATCTCCATACTTGGCTTCAGGTTGAAGAATATTACAAGAAGTAAACACCTGCTCTGGTCTGAGAATACAACAGTGGACTGATAAGCTCTGTTTTTTAAGATGTGTTCAATAATCTATCACAGATTGATTGTTCTTGTGCTGTATTTGAAGTGCAACAGTGTTGCGAGATCTAACTGAAGATCTAAGATGAGGAAAAAACAAAGCAAAAACAGTTACAGGCACTCAGTTGATAAATTACTGGCTTGTCTTGTACAGTAGAACACGGATATAACGAACACGGACATAGCGAACAAACGGATACAACGAACTGTTAAAAAATCCCCAATTTATCTCCTATATAATATCATATAAAATTATGTATATAACGAACCCTCTACAGCGAACTAACGGATACAACGAACTGATATCTGATCACCGACAAGCCCATCTATCACTAATTAGTGACGTGTATAGCGAACTGAGAAATCTTACTCAGTGTCAAGTGTCACTGACAATTGGCATTACGCAATAATAAGAGGGAAGCTATCAGTTTAGACACGAAATTGAGAATTATTAATGCTGTTGATGCTGGCATAAAAACCAAGAAAGACCAAAGCTGACGAACTTGCAGTGAAATTAGGCCATGAAGATTTCACGTGTAACACTGCAATTACGTGTATTGTGTTTTGTCTTATCCAAGGTGGCGGACGTTTCCGAGCGAAAACGTGTATAACGAACGACGGATATAACGAACTGATTTCCCTGGTCCCTTGCAGTTCGTTATATCCATGTTCTACTGTATATGGACATTCATGTATATGTAAGTTAACCAGTTTGTCCATTTGATTACAGAGAAAGCTTTCTTTGATCCTTCCTTGCTAGAACTGCTGTACTTCCCTGAAGATCAAAAGTAAGTCAATCCACTCCATCATATATAGACAGCTGTGACATAGCTGGAATATTGCTGACTGCAGCATATCGCAAGTAACTCATTCACTGCATCCCTCAGTGGTCAGTATGAATGGTTTAAGATTGTATGGCTGGTGTTCTTGTTATGTTATAAAGGCACTGAGTCAGGTTAGAATAGGTCCCAAGCAACCTAAGCTGGTCATAAGAAGTGACAGAGGGGATCAGGCGTGACCTGGTTGATTGTGTGCCGTGCCCCAACAGCGTTGATTGTTGCTCACAATATCCATACTGGATTGTCTGGCATAGACTTGATTATTTACAGGCAGCTGTCATATAGCTGTATTATTGCTGATCATGTGCTGATTGTGGTGTTAATCAACAATTTATAAATGACAAAACAAAGAAATAGCAACAAAAATTTATTAATGTTTGGCAGGGGGATTCTCATTGTAATACTGACCCAGTCAGGCATACTGCAATATGCATACCATAATTAAGCCTGACTGGGTAAAAAATGATGTGCATATACTCGCGGCCGAGTATAAATGCACCGGTTAGAATGGCTGCCAGCCTACCTGCGACCAGGTAGTCCAGTGAAGCTACAAGCATGGTTCCCAGACCTCGAGCTTGCCCTGATGGTACGGGCGCTTCACTGGTTGCTAGAGGATAAGTTGCAATTTGCAAAATGGTGGTTTGAATTACTTATGGAAGGGGGGAAGAAGATCCACTTGTGTGGATGCTAGCCCAAAATGATCAGTTGGGGAGAATACGAGCAAACTGAGAATCCCCCATAAGTAATATAAGCAAACAAACAAAACAAACAATACTGTTGAAATTGTGTTGTGGATGTTGATGCTTCCTTATCAAATTCATCAAATTGGTTTGATGGTATTCTGGTTTTGAATTGTCCCCAGCCACCAATGCTTTTCGTACAAGGAGACTTGATGGATCAGGTGGTCAGATTTGGGCGATTGAGTGTCATTGTACCCTGATGGCTCTTATTGTTGCTCATTATATCAATCACTAGTTTGTCTCGTGGATCAGCCCGTATGACACCCCTGTCCATGTTGTTCCAGGTTTGCCATCTATATCCCCCTGTTCCTGCCGATCAGCATCCCCGTGTTCACGTCGCTGGTGCAGGCCGTCAAGTGGTTCCGCAGCAGGAGGAAGCAGAAGAAGGATTGAACGCACCACCACTAGTCACTATATACTATGCAGTGTCACTGAAACAGGCCTTGGTCCACGGACCGTTGTAGAGTTACGACTATCAAATCTCTGATTCTTTTAAGCCTTTGAAATAAGCAGGAAAGACAATGGACATATTGATAAACATAACTTAATGATTCCAATGTTAACAGTTTTAGATTTAGATGGTCCCTAGATTCAAATACTGTACTATCAAATCTCATGGATCACAGGACATTTTGAAACAGTAAATCTCAGAACTGATTGCATTTCATATGATTTTGGCCAATGGTACAAAATGGATAAGAATATTTGACTGTGATAGGACAATGATTTAGATTAGCTCACCTAACTGCCTGTCAAGTTTGTTTGTGCGGCCTGTTTGTCCTATTGTCTGTCGTAGTCATCTTGTAAAGCTGAATCTGAATGATTGTTTGTTCCCACTGATGACGACAGCTCAGTTTGATCAAGAGGACTTGATATAGCGCCACCATGACAGAAGCTGTGGAACCAGTTTTGCTGAAATTCAACCCAATAGTTTGTAATAAGTGTATTAAAAACCAAAAAAAATTCCTTTTTACAAAAAAAAGGTGATAAAATGTTTTTTGTTGCAGGTTAAGAAACATTGCTGAAATGTAGTAACTTGGTTATTAGGCTTAAAAAAATATAAAAGAATTGGTCCTCATGCAATGTTTTTTTAAACAAATGGTGCAGGCAGGGGGTGTCTTTATTCTTTCTTTATTTTTTGTTGTTCAAACTGGTATGTAACCAAACAAACAGTTGTGTAACCAAATAAATAGTTGTATGCAATCAACCTGTGAAAGGGCCTTCCTACATAAGTGTATTCATTGAGGAGTAAAATACTGGAATACAGTATTTGACTACAGTTGGACTTGGAATTATTAATGAATTTTTTGTTTTAAAAATGGAAATAAAAACAAAACATGTGGCGAACTTTATGATGATGTGGGCGGTGCCTGAGAACCAAGACTATTATCTTTTTTAGCCTTATCTATACATTTGTTCTTTGTATTTTAGCAGAAAATATTATGAATATTAAAGTTGTCAAACAGTTTTGTTAAGTAGCCGTCATTGTAAACATATTAAACAGTTGACTATATAGCCAGGTGAGCTACGGTGCCTGGCACTATTGCACTTTGCCCACAGACATATTGAATTTTGAGGAACAATACCTGATGTAAGAGCATCAGTTCTGACATCCTCGTTTATCCAGTGTAACTTATCTTCTTTCTATCATGACATATATCCCGACCCATTCACGGCCATAGCACCATTTGTTATCTTTGTTGAAGGACACAATGCTAAAAATATTCATCCAATCAAAATACACTGTTCTTGAAACAAGCAGTGATATCAGCAATACTTGTCTTGCCTTGTGTGCCATCTCAACTAGAACATAGAAGGTCTTGTAGCCAAATGATCCCCGCCCCCCTAGTTATAGTACTCTATGCTAGATATGCATCTATAACATTCTAAGATTCAATTAAATATGCTGAGAACTCGTTCACATGAGGCTGTGATTTCTTTTACTTTAGATCTGTGCAGAACTTTCCGTAAGAAGAGCTATTTTAATGGGTTGTTGATTTCAAGATCTTGAGTGAGAGAATGTCTGTACTTAGTTGGTGAGGTCAGATGTAATGGGGTTTAACATCAACTTCAAGACTAATGCACTTTTATAGCGTGTGCATGTCTGAGTGTGTGTATGGCTGCTTGTACTAGTCTGGCCTAACGTCAGTTTTATGGTGCTAGCTGATTGAGATACGATGCCAAGGTTTCATTGCGTACCCCAATTGGACACGTATACTGATTCCGAGCTGACCAGTCTTTGTTTGAGCCCCCTAATCCCGATTGCCAGGCAGGGTAACAACAAGTACCATATTTTAACATCTTACACGCAGCCGGGTTTGAACTCCGGACCTTCTGCTCTCCATGCGGGCGTTCTATCACAAGACCACAGATTAAGTCTCTTGGGCTCGAGGACTAGTGGCTTTGAAACCAGGGACTAGATAAACAGAACACAAGTTCCATCTTTTAACATCTTTGGGTATGATGTGACCAGGGATTGAACCACCGATCTTCTGCTCTGTGAGCAGACGGTCGGTCCACTCGACCATCAAGACCATTCAGTTGGTAATAGAGATTGTGATGTCACTTCCGAAATGAAGCTTTGGTGGATAATGGGTCCAGATTATTTACACTGGATAATGTAGGATGCAATCAGGACTGTATTCTCTGGTAATAAGTTAAAGAATATGTGGTTGTGTGATTATGTGAGTATTTGTTAATCTTGTTGAACAAGATAGTGTTTGTGTAAATGTCCGAAGTGTCTGTATGTTTTATACATTGTAAGACAGACTGTGATATCATATCATTGTCATCGAAGTGAACATCTGCACAACATGTATATGGGGTCTTAGCTGTAAGCATGTATGATTGTTTGAGTAAAACTATTTCTGTGTCATGGCTGCAGATCTGATGAAATGCCACCTATTGGCTAGTGGTGTAATGATACAAAACATCGATTTACAAGCCCTGTATCTCATTATTGCTTGGCTAATAAAAAAACATTTTATGGAATCTTTTTTCATAAAATTCCTTATATTTAGGCTGGACGGTTCTGTAAAACAAGTAAAACAGATCTGTTTTGACCCTTGTTACAGTGACGTCAGGGATGCAAAAATGGGTTGTCCCATCCTTGGCATGATGACTGCGGACATGCCTGACAAATGCTTTGTCTGCTCAAGACACAATAACACTCTGCAAGCCACAGTGTATCAGGTCAAATATTGCTTAGCATCATCAAAAACTCCAAGGCCATGCTCACAAAATGGTGTCAGTGTTAAAATATTCAACATGTTAGCAGGTCTCAGATAGTAAGTTATTTACCTTATATGGACTTTTCTATTCACCATTCCGTGTTTGTTTTGCTGTGAATGTCACTTTTATAGTATGGATGTTTGTATGATTAGATGATATTTTGTAATAAAAAATATGTCAAAGAAAAATTATTTGTTAGTTTTATCATGATTATCTTTCAAAGATGTGTACATCTACTCGTGAACAGAAATGAGTCTTTCCTCATCTGCTGCTTCCCTTCCACAAGGGCAGCAATACAGTTTGTGAACATTTTGATATTTATTTAATAGTTACATGCCATCTTCAGTACTACACAGGTTTGTAATACCCTTGTAGGGAATCCGGGTTAGAATTGTCCCCAGCATCCTAGGCTGGTCATGAGAAGGATCAACTATGCAACTCAATTGTAGACACCTCTTACCCCAATCTCATTAAAATCAGACCGTAGTTCTCGCTACCGCTAAACAAAGATCTGAGGACATCCCATTACGGGTCACGTCAGAACGACCTTTCATCCGACCAATCAGAGCATCGCTTACCAGATCATGAAAGTGACAGTCGGAATGTGATTTCTAATCATGCAGCCTCGAAAATGTTCAAACGGTCGATAGTTACGGGCTTAACGACTGAATCTATACAATCCAGACCATATATAACCCATTCTAGAACGTTCTTTCGTTCAGGTTTCAAATTTTTAAGCAAGAATTTGTCAAAATATGTTTCGAAGCCTAGTTGCCAATTTGAAATTAGTGCAGTAAAGCACGAGAAAGCTGCCTTCTGATTGTCTAATGTCGACTTCTTGTCATTAATTCCATTGGTCAGTAGGAGTTTGCAAAAGGTCGGTCTGACGTTCCCCGTAATGGGATGTCTTCAGATCTTTATTTAGCGGCAGCGAGAACTAAGATATGATTTTAATGAAATTGGTGGGGAATCCGGGTTAGAATTGTCCCCAGCAACCTATGCTGGCCGTGAGAGGGATCAACTGGTTTGCGTGGGCAGACACGGGAACTTGGTTGATGGCATGGCATCGTACACGGACAGCGTTGATCACTGTTCACGATAACAATCAATGGATTGTCTGGTGCAGACTTTATTATTTACAGGCTTCCACATAGCTGGAATATCTCCGAGTGCGGCATTTAAATACAAACATTGTTTGTGTACACGTTATGATTCTCTGTCATCCATGAATACATAGGGTTGATATGTGGTGTAGTAGTGACATGGGTCTATTCTAAATCTGGGGTAGAATAGGTCTGCAGCAATCCATACTTGCCGTAAAAGGCGACTATGCTTGTCGTAAGAGGCGACTAACGGGATCGGGTGGTCAGGCTAACTGACTTGGATTGTCGTCATACCCAATTGCATGTATCGATGCTCATGATCTCAGTCACTGGATTGTCTGGTCCAGACTCGATTATTTACAGACCGCCATCATATAGCTAGAATATTGCTGTGTTAAACAACAAACAACTCATCAATGTGATGCAGAACTCATGGAAGTCACTCATCTCTCCTCTGTGTATGAGGGGCGGTCGCGTAGCCTAGTGGTTAAAGCGTTCGCTCGTCATGCCGAAGACACGGGTTCGATTCCCGACATGGGTACAATGTGTGAAGACCATTTCTGGTGTCTCCCACCGTGATTGCTGGAATATTGCTAAAAGCGGCGTAAAACCCTACTCACTCACTCACTCTGTGTATGAAGTTTGTGCAAATGGTATTTTACGTAGTAGTGTCCACAAACTCATGAAGTAGTGAGATGTCCGATATACTACTTTCCATATGAAGTCTTAAGGTTCTCTGTTCATGTGCGGCCCGTCGGGGCTCTCGGTCAGAATACTGGTCCCGAGGGAAACCTATGCTTGACATAGGACGAGACTAAATGGATCGGTGGTCAGACTCTTTGATTTGGTTGTAATGACTGCATGTCATTGTCTGCCAAAAGCGTAGATCAATGCTCATGATGTCAATCACAAGACTGCCTGGGCCATATTCATTTATTTACAGACCACCGTCATACAGACTAAATATTGCTGAGTGCGACATTAAACAACAAACAAACTTTAGGTGCAAATGGTCACTCACTTTGAGGTTCCAGGGCAGAATACTCCTGCTGACAGTGTCCAGTAAGGTATGACCACAATGTGTGACCTTGATTCTGTGTCATTGTCCTCCGATGACATGGAATTGTTGCCACTAATCAACCACTAGTTTGCCAGGCAAAGACATGAATATTAAGGGGTGAGAATCTTCAGCGGATCCGCAAATTTTTTTTTAATCTAATGGCCAAGCCCCCATTAACACCCCAAAATTTTGGACCATGCTCCATTGAAAAGAAGTTTCAGCTGAAATGGAAAATATCCATTCTCATCCCTGATGCTGAAAGTATGTCTGATTCAGGTGGAATATGACAGTGGTGTTACACTACAGTCTCTCTCTCACATTTCACAGATCCATTTTCTATGTGGGTGATAGGCACCCCCTCAAACATACTAAACATTTATACATTTGGATGTATGACAGGTGCATACTGGTAAGCCTAGATAAGTTAGAAAAGTTCTATGGATGAACAACTTCTTTATTACAATTAGTGCGACGTTTCGGTGTAGATCCTAACACCTTTATCCTGGATTACCAGTAAGTGTGAACATATTACAAACAGAAACTACCACATTGTGATTTGACTTCAACACAAAGAACTCAACTACCAAATACAAATTTCCTTGTGGGTTATTTGCAGTTATCCAGCATGTCAATGCAGCCTTTCTTACATGCTTCAACTTTTCGTGAACACCTGGTGTCATCACTGATTTTCAGTGATCCATTTATATAAGTTTCACCACTATTTTGCCTTTTACGCCCAATGAAATCTGTTTGCGGCAGACAATCGAGACGAGTTATTCTCTGGTGTTGCCATTTTATTTTTATTTTTCAAACAACTACATATCCATGACAACAAAATGGCGGCCACTGACCATGCTGAGTAATATTTACCGGTACTTTAGTATGTAGAAAACAGGATCTGCATGTACAGTCAGTATCAATAAGTGTCAAACACTTCATCTGCCAATTTATTGCAATACATTTGTATCACAATACCGTATTCGACGTAATAAGCACCCAGGGCGCTCTCAAAATTAGAAATAGGGGGCTCTTATTAGAATGAATATGATTTTGGTGAAAGAGCTGAAAGATCATAAATTTTGTGGTTTATGCTTACAGCCTGAAATGACACCAAAGAAAAGTTACGTGCATTACTATTATACACGACAGATATATTTTTCCAGAATTTAATTCTTTTTAGAGCGGGGCATTTATTACGTCGAATACGGTATATTGCAATACAGTTTTTGTTGCCACTACACAGCCCTTATGGAAATGGTATGTAAAGAAATAATGTTTGATATGGGAAGTAAAGAATTATTTTTTTATATGGTCTGATTTTTTTTTATGTCTGTATGTTAAGAAGAATGAAATCCTAAAAGTGAGAACAAATGAGAACAATAACACATGACAAAAAGTGGTTGAAAGGTATTTTATCACAATTACAGTATGGATGACAACTTCTTCATAGACAATCAGGCGACATTTCTGTACAAGCACACCCAGAGGGGATTCTGGGTTAGAATGGATGCCCAGCAACCTGGTGCTGAGAAGGGACTAACTGGATCAGATGCTCAGACTTGGTGACTTGCCGGATTGTCATCATACGTAGGTCATAATACCGACCACCGACTTGTCTGGTTTACATTCCACTATTTACTGGCAGCCATGATATAACACAATATTGCTGAGTGCAGCATAAAACAAATAAACAATAAAATCAGCAAGGGTAAAAAAAAGCTATGATTCAAAACAAAACATTTCGAGACAACTTCAGCGTGAGCCACCTACTTTAAGGTGGCAGATGACAGAATGGTAAGGACTTGTTAGCAGACAGATAGTCCCTGACAAAATGGTAAGGACTAGTTAGCAGACAGATAGCCACTGACAGAATGGTAAGGACTTGTTAGCAGACAGATAGCCGCTGACAGAATGGTAAATACTAGTTAGCAGACAGATAGCCACTGACAGAATGGTAAGGACTTGTTAGCAGACAGATTGCCGCTGACAGAATGGTAAGGACTAGTTAGCAGACAGATACCCACTGACAGAGTGGTAAGGACAAGTTAGCAGACAGATAGCCGCTGACAGAATGGTAAGGACTAATTAGCAGACAGATAGCCGCTGACAGAATGGTAAGGACTAGTTAGCAGACAGACAGCCGCTGACAGAATGGTAAATACTAGTTAGCAGACAGATAGCCGCTGACAGAATGGTAAGGACTTGTTAGCAGACAGATAGCCGCTGACAGAATGGTAAGGACTAGTAAGCAGACAGATAGCCGCTGACAGAATGGTAAGGACTAGTTAGCAGACAGATAGCCGCTGACAGAATGGTAAGGACTAGTTAGCAGACAGATAGCCGCTGACAGAATGGTAAGGACTAGTTAGCAGACAGATAGCCGCTGACAGAATGGTAAGGACTAGTTAGCAGACAGTTAGCCGCTGACAGAATGGTAAGGACTAGTTAGCAGACAGATAGCCGCTGACAGAATGGTAAGGATCTGTTAGCAGACAGATAGCCGCTGACAGAATGGTAAGGACTAGTTAGCAGACAGACAGCCGCTGACAGAATGGTAAATACTAGTTAGCAGACAGATAGCCACTGACAGAATGGTAAGGACTTGTTAGCAGACAGATAGCCGCTGACAGAATGGTAAGGACTTGGTAGCAGACAGATAGCCGCTGACAGAATGGTAAGGACTAGTAAGCAGACAGATAGCCGCTGACAGAATGGTAAATACTAGTTAGCAGACAGATAGCCGCTGACAGAATGGTAAGGACAAGTTAGCAGACAGATAGCCGCTGACAGAGTGGTAAGGACAAGTTAGCAGACAGATAGCCGCTGACAGAATGGTAAGGACAAGTTAGCAGACAGATAGCCACTGACAGAATGGTAAGGACTAGTTAGCAGACAGATAGCCGCTGACAGAATGGTAAGGACTAGTAAGCAGACAGATACCCACTGACAGAGTGGTAAGGACAAGTTAGCAGACAGATAGCCGCTGACAGAATGGTAAGGACAAGTTAGCAGACAGATAGCCACTGACAGAATGGTAAGGACTAGTTAGCTGACAGATAGCCCCTGACAGAATGGTAAGGACTAGTTAGCAGACAGATAGCCGCTGACAGAATGGTAAGGACTTGTTAGCAGACAGATAGCCGCTGACAGAATGGTAAGGACAAGTTAGCAGACAGATAGCCGCTGACAGAATGGTAAGGACTAGTTAGCAGACAGATAGCCACTGACAGAATGGTAAGGACTAGTTAGCTGACAGATAGCCCCTGACAGAATGGTAAGGACTAGTTAGCAGACAGATAGTCGCTGACAGAATGGTAAATACTAGTTAGCAGACAGATAGCCACTGACAGAATGGTAAGGACTTGTTAGCAGACAGATAGCCGCTGACAGAATGGTAAGGACTTGTTAGCTGACACATAGCCGTTGACAGAATGGTAAGGACTAGTTAGCAGACAGATAGCCGCTGACAGAATGGTAAGGACTAGTTAGCAGACAGATAGCCGCTGACAGAATGGTAAGGACTAGTTAGCAGACAGACAGTCGCTGACAGAATGGTAAATACTAGTTAGCAGACAGATAGCCACTGACAGAATGGTAAGGACTTGTTAGCAGACAGATAGCCGCTGACAGAATGGTAAGGACTTGGTAGCAGACAGATAGCCGCTGACAGAATGGTAAGGACTTGTTAGCAGACAGATAGTCCCTGACAGAATGGTAAGGACTAGTTAGCAGACAGATAGCCGCTGACAGAATGGTAAGGAATTGTTAGCAGACAGATAGTCCCTGACAGAATGGTCGGGTCTTCGGGTATTCAGTTGCCTAGTGACTTGTTGCAGAATATATTTCTGCCTCAGTTACTTGTGTCAGCTGTCACAGTGTAGCATTTAAAGGGAAAGGGCAAACAGATACCATCTGCCTGGAGTCAGGTACACCAATATGGTATACCCATACTTCGCACAGTGTATCCTAAAATATAGACTATAAATAAATCTGTGTGAATATAAAAATACACTGAGCATAAAAACAAAACAAATACATGTGAGTCCACTTGTATTCTGGTTATTATTCAAAACTTGTAGTTTACATTTTGCAAAAGTAAGCTCCCCCATTATGAATAAGTCCATTGAAAACGTGCTTATTTGGAATATCATTTTGTACTTATTTTTCTCTTTTGATTGTCACTGGAGTGTCTGACCCAGACTCAATTATTTACGGACCGCAGTCATATTGCTGGAATATTGCTGAGTGGGGCGTTAAACAACAAAATAACAAATACTCAACTGGTGTCTTTTGCTTTTCAGGAATGTTTGGAATTTGTGTTTAAGTATTTCCATGGCAATTAGTAAGATTTAAGTTCAAAAGAGGGTAGGGATGTTTCCAGAACAAACCATTCAATGTTTCTTAATGAAACTTTGTATACACATCCAATCTCATTAAAATCAGGTCTTAGTTCTCGTTACTGCTAAACAAAGATCTGAGGACATCACATTGCGGGTCATGTCAGAACGATCTTTCATCTGACCAATCAGAGCGTCGCTTATCAGATCATGAAAGTGACAGTTGGAATGGTATTTTTGGTCGTGCAACCTCGAATAAAAACACACAGGGCATTCTGAACGACAGATATGGGCTTTATGTCTGTATTTATACAATCTAGACCATCTATTAGGTATTCAAGAATATTCTTTTGCTTTGTTTTTAATTTTTTAATTGAGTATATGTCAAAATATGTTTCGAAGCATAGTCACCAGTTTGAAACTCGTGCCGTAAAGCTCGATTAAGCTGCCTTCTGACTGGCTATTGTTGACTTCTTGTCAGTCATTCCATTGGTCGGTCCCATTCCGCAATGGGATGTCCTCAGATCTTTGTATAGCAGTATCGAGAATTAAGATCTGATTTTAATGAGATTGTATACACATCAGGCATGCATTGATCATTGAACTGGTGCCTTATTTAAAAATGTTTGAAATTGTGATGTTTTCAATTTCCAAAGCAACAAGTTGGACATTTTCGAATGAAGGTAGGGATCAGTTTGGAGCATAACTCATAAACTAGTCATAATTTCTTTGTGAAACGTTGTATACCAATTAGGGATGTGCTGAAATGATGTCCTTTGTTAAATAGGATTACTTGAATTCTTTTTTCCCTGCGTTTTCAAGGCAACAAGTTTGGATAGATTCTGGAGCATAACTCACATAAACTGTTCAACTGTTCAACTGTGCATTGACCTGGGACATTTTGCCATTAAGGTATTATTTTTACTTAATTCTTTCTACGTTGTTGAGACAATATCAAGTTGGACAGCAACATACATCAATTCCGGAATTGTTTCATGTTTTGACTATTTTGTTATGGAATAATGCAGCAGAGTTAACAACACTCTATGTAATATTGCTATCAAAATTTGATAATCAAATACAAAGCTCAATCTACTGAAAGGTACCATCGCCACCATTCACATCTTTGAACGGTAATAAAAGCCCTTAAAAAATACAGGGAATCACTTGGCTTCATCATCAATCATAATGTCATAACCTTTCTTGGAATAATTAAGTAAATGGATTAGTTTTCGAGATTTTATGCACTTTTTTAAACAGGTGTGGGATATCAATGACTTTTTCTCCATGTATTTTTGGCATTTTGGCATAAAATAAGATCTAACTAAACATGCAATTACTCTTTTCCTTTATGAAATTGATCAGCATGTAGTTATAATTGTATGTATTTAAGTTATTTTCTCTGGATACCAATGCAGCCTTAGATTTAAATTTTATGTCACAGTTCATGCCAGGTTTCTGGCCTGAAATCTCTTCTCAATGTCCTCAATTTTCTTTCGGAGGATGTCCACCCAATCTTCGTCCTTCTCCACATCCTGGTACCTTGTGGGCGAGTTGTACAACTTGACGACGGCGTCCGTCTTGTCATACCGCAGCCCTGCTGCCACCACGGCCTCCTCGAACTTGATTGGGGAGGCTGAGGCCAGACACACTCTCAGCGGGTCATCCGAACTGCTGAAGAAAGAAGTCATATGTTGGCAGTTATAGTACTGTCTTGATTATAGTGTGCACCCATGTGCACCTCTATCTTGTTTATGCAGTATTTTAAAAAAATAATCTTCGAGTATAATGTATAAAAAGCTACAGGGTATCCCTCCACAACCTTGGTGCAGACCATCCAGTGTGTCCTGGGAGCAATTTATTTAAGGGTAAAATTTGATCACAATTCTTTTTTTCCAGCATTGTTAGGAACAAAATATCTTTTATCAAACGTTGATGGTAAAATATGTGAGCTGTGATCGACGTAGCAGAACGATTCCTTTGTGGAACCTGGCCTTTATAGAACCTGATGTACTTAGACAACATAGGATGAAGTTTGAAAGACTGTGGGATTACTCCAGTCCCAACTTTTGCTTCATATTTGGAAAAGGAATGAAATATTCACACTAGTTAACCACTCCTCACACTTGATTTCCTTCATTATACCCATCTATATGAAAGTGCATTCCAGCCTGTCACAGATGTTGTTCTTGTAGTGTAGTTCAGAAACCATGTCCTGTCAGTATCAGCTGTAACAGAATTTCCTATGTAGTGGTAGTCTAGTGTGGCCCCTGTTCTTACCCCTGTCTACTGTAGTGGTAGTCCAGTGTGGCGCCTGTTCTTACCCTTGTCTACTGTTGTGGAAGTCCAGTGTGGTGGTTGAGTGGCCCCTGTTCTTACCCCTGTCTACTGTAGTGGTAGTCCAGTGTGGCGCCTGTTCTTACCCCTGTCTACTGTTGTGGAAGTCCAGTGTGGTGGTTGAGTGGCCCCTGTTCTTACCCCTGTTTACTGTAGTGGTAGTCTAGTGTGGCCCCTGTTCTTACCCCTGTTTACTGTAGTGGTAGTCTAGTGTGGCCCCTGTTCTTACCCCTGTCTACTGTAGTGGTAGTCTAGTGTGGCCCCTGTTCTTGCCCTTGTCTACTGTAGTGGTAGTCTAGTGTGGCCCCTGTTCTTACCCCTGTCTACTGTAGTGGTAGTCCAGTGTAGCCCCTGTTCTTACCCCTGTCTACTGTAGTGGTAGTCTAGTGTGGCCCCTGTTCTTACCCCTGTCTACTGTAGTGGTAGTCTAGTGTGGCCCCTGTTCTTACCCTTGTCTACTGTTGTGGTAGTCTAGTGTGGCCCCTGTTCTTACCCTTGTCTACTGTAGTGGTAGTGCAGTGTGGCCCCTGTTCTTACCCCTGTCTACTGTAGTGGTAGTCTAGTGTGGCCCCTGTTCTTACCCTTGTCTACTGTAGTGGTAGTCTAGTGTGGCCCCTGTTCTTACCCTTGTCTACTGTAGTGGTAGTCTAGTGTGGCCCCTGTTCTTACCCCTGTCTACTGTAGTGGTAGTCCAGTGTGGCCCCTGTTCTTACCCTTGTCTACTGTAGTGGAAGTCTAGTGTGACCCCTGTTCTTACCCTTGTTTACTGTAGTGGTAGTGCAGTGTGGCCCCTGTTCTTACCCCTGTCTACTGTAGTGGTAGTCTAGTGTGGCCCCTGTTCTTACCCTTGTCTACTGTTGTGGTAGTCTAGTGTGGCCCCTGTTCTTACCCTTGTCTACTGTAGTGGTAGTGCAGTGTGGCCCCTGTTCTTACCCCTGTCTACTGTAGTGGTAGTCTAGTGTGGCCCCTGTTCTTACCCTTGTCTACTGTAGTGGTAGTGCAGTGTGGCCCCTGTTCTTACCCCTGTCTACTGTAGTGGTAGTGCAGTGTGGCCCCTGTTCTTACCCTTGTCTACTGTAGTGGTAGTCCAGTGTGGCCCCTGTTCTTACCCTTGTTTACTGTAGTGGTAGTGCAGTGTGGTGGCTGAGTGGGGACACACAAGGTAGCTGTTCTCCTCCCAGCACTTCCTCATACTTCTCTTGATCCCCTCATCCTCCACTACGTGGGAGCTGACCACCTCACCAATCTGAAAACAACATCTGAACTGAAGTTGCAGAATTACCCCCACCTCAATGACAGGTTTGTCCTGGCAGTGGTCTTGGTCCATGCTTCTCCCTGATTATGATACTTGACTTCAAAGAGCCATTAATGGGCAAGTAAAGTGAAACAAATTAGTGCATTTTGTTCAGAATAACAACAGGGGCCAATAAAATGTTCTAGATAAAGTGCTGAAATCACATGCTTGGTAATTGGATTCCCAAACAAAACTATTTGGGGGCAAGGCCTATAGCTACTGGTGCAGCAGTCCGTGTCAAAAGTTTTCCTTGGCTGCTATGTAGACTTGTTAGGCTTTGCAGCTACACGGATATGCCAGGACGAGGTCAATCTAAAAGCGTTGCTATTTCTGTTAATCCTACAAAAATAACATTGGTGAGTGTGTGAAACAACCTTTGATCTTGACATTGTGAATAATTATAAGAACAATCAAAGTCTGTAACAAGCTTTTTATGGCAAATATTCTGTTTGGTTTAAAACACCATTATCACTCTCCCCCATAATGGTGCATTTTAGAATATGAGGTATTTACCTCAAATTTATTTTATTTTCTAAAATCATGCACAGCAACCAGGATGCACAATATCTACAGCATGGAGAAAGGGTTGAGGTGAAATGGGGTTTAACACCGCGCCCAAGATTATTGCACTTATATAGCGACGTGCATGTACTAGAGTGTGTTTCTGTGGCTGCTTGTACTAGTCCGGACTGATGCCGATTTATAGTGCTAGCTCACTGAGATTCCATGCCGAAGTTTATCATGAATACCCCACTCAGACACAGTATACCGGTACTGACTCCAAGCCAGCCAGTCCTTGTTTTAGCCCCTTAATGCCGAGCGTCAGACAGGGTAACAACAAGTACCATCTTTTAACGTCATTTGGTATGACGCGGTCGGGGATCCCCAGACCTTCCGCTCTCGGGGCGGATGCTCTACCACTAGACCACGGAGGCGGTCATGGAGAAAGGGAGGTTAACTCCAAAAATAAACAAGGAAAAAATAATATTTTGTGAGAATTACCAAAATGTGAACAATCATCAGTTCAGCATATGTTTGATACATATGCAAAGTTCATAATAAAATATGAAACAGTTGCAGGAATCAAAGGCTAAACATATTTGAGTCTAAGGCTGGTTTGTTGCCAAGGAAACACGAAAAATATTTTTGTCAGAAATACCTAAACATGAAAAGTAGGAAAACCCTCAATGATCCACCAAGCAGACTGCGTGCCAACCCCATTGTAGCACATTAAATGCCAGGAACCCATTTTAATCCCAGTATGGGGAATCCCCATAGTGACGGAATTTTTCATTTAGGGGACGATTACAGATACTTGCAACTAAGTTTGCAGGCTTTCCATTATTTGATGAAACCTTTGATAAGAACAATAAGGTGACATCATTATAGGTTTGTGAAGCCAACTAACTCACTCCCAACTGGTTTAGAACAAGCTGGTAACTGTTACTAGTGAGTGAGTGAGTATGGTTTTACTCTGCTTTTAGCAATATTCCAGCAATATCACGGCGGGGGACACCAGAAATGGGCTTCACACATTGTACCCATGTCGGGAATCGAATAACTGTTACTAAAAATACTTACCTTGGCTCTGAGATTCTCCGGGACTTTTGTCATCATTGTCTTCTCAAACTCTGTCATCATGTTGCTAACCATCTCAACATCGCCATCAGAGAACACGTGCCAGATTCGCTCCATGTTATATGCCATCTAGAGGTGGGACAAAAGTGGACAATATTCGCTCCATGTTATATGCCATCTAGATGTGGGACAAAAGTTGACAATATTCGCTCCATGTTATATGCCATCTAGAGGTGGGACAAAAGTTGACAATATTCGCTCCATGTTATATGCCATCTAGAGGTGGGACAAAAGTGGACAATATTCGCTCCATGTTATATGCCATCTAGAGGTGGGACAAAAGTGGACAATATTCGCTCCATGTTATATGCCATCTAGAGGTGGGACAAAAGTTGACAATATTCACTCACCAGAACCCATTTATAAAATATTGAGATTTATTCTGGGGTTTTTCTGTTGGGTTCAAATTTGATTCTTTATTCCATACTTTAACACTTCCTCTGTTGATCTGTGTTTTAGTAACTGACTAAAATATTCAACAAGTGAACAAGGAAATAAGAACCTGTATATCCATGGCAGGAGCTAATGACTGTTTCACCTCCCCAATAGAGTAGTCTCCCTTTACAATAGCACGATCCACTATATCGTTAGTAGTGACACAGCACACCAGCTTCACCGGCAGACCCATCTTCCGGGCTAAACATCCAGCTGAATAAAATTCACACATTAAACAACCATGAAATACCCACACCCTCATCAGATCATTATGAGAAGGTGGGGTTTGTTTTTTGCTGATTTGACCTCTATTTCAGTTATAATATGCAGGGGTGTTCAAATACCAAACTTTCATACTTGCCCGGGCAAGTAAGCTTCAAATTTCTACTTGTCTGGCTTGATTTTCAACTCGCCCTGCTAAATTAGAGAAAAAAAGAAAACTTTAATTTTTAACAACAAAACAACAGCTAATGGAAGATGTGTAGAATAGAAACTTGATTACTTTAGCCAGGTACTTCATCAGTTGAAAGACACACAATGCATCTAACTTTAAAAGTTTACACTGACAATTTTCTTACATGCCCGAAGGCAACTAAATCATATTTTCCCACTTGCCAGGTGCTTTATTTTGACAGGACAGGCAAGTCGGGCATTGAACATCCCTGCCACGTCTTGTCAGCTTGATGTGGGAGGAACGCCCGAAGTGATGCAGATCATTAGATGGTTACCACTTTGGTGAAACTCACGAGTCTGGATATGGCGCTGACAGACCAAGGATCACAATCTGGGATTCAAACCCACAACGGGCCATCTCCCATCAATAGTCCCAGACGAATTCTGAGGTAAAAGTATCGACATTCTGCAGTAGAAATACTGTGAAAATAACATTACAAAATTCTGTGGTAAATACATAACCATTTCCCTCTGAAAAATTAATACAACCTCTTTTGAAAACTCGATTTCTAAATTTGAAACGAACTAATTCATTCCACAAACTGTCAGTATAAACAGTTATCATGGGAAAAGAAAAACTTAAGCCAATATGCATAGTGTCGCTGATATTTATTTATGGTTATATGTAAACATAGTTCATGTACCAGTAGTCATTATACTGCAAGGTCATTTACAAGTGAGAGTCATTTATTTCAAATTTCATTATATAGCTGGAATTATATTACCGTATTCGATAATAAGCGCCCCGCTCTAATAAGCACCCACGGTGATATTTGCTAATATTTTGGCTAGTGAACAATCCCAATCTGCACCCCTTCCGATTGATCAATGTACACAAGACTTATTTAATCGTGTATAATACTCACTCGTGTGTTATATGCACCCTTAATTATGAGCAATTAAATTCTGGAAAAATATATCTGTCGTGTATAATACGCACAGACTTTTCTTTTGTATCATTTCAGGTACATAAATCTAGAAATATACGATCTTTAACTCTGTTATTTTCTTACCAAAATTATATTCTAATAAGAGCCCCCTATTTCTAATTTTGAGAGCGCCCTGGGTGCTTATTACGTTGAATACGGTATGTATGTTTCAATCACATGTCAAATATTTTGGCATCATTCTGGTCCCTAATTTGATAGAAAAATTTGAAAATAATGAAAATAAGTGTATTGACTGATTACAAGAGGGTTGGTTACATTTTCTGCAAATCTTTCCGTGATTGCAAAATCTGCAAATCTTTCCCTGATTGCGAAATCGCAGAATTTGCCTGGGACTGCATCAAAAACAGCTTGATGAGGTGTGATGGCAATCCCGTCTAAATGTACGTACAATAAAAAAAGGAAGTAAGTAAGGATAAGAATTTATGGATGAACAACTTCTTTATTACAATTAAGATATAAAGAAATTGTTCATCCATAAATTCTTATCCTTACTTAGCACTCCAACTTCTAAATGCCTATCAAAGATCAATTAAAAAAAATTAACAAATATTTTCCGAAGTAATTTACAATATACTGCCTGGCAAAAGAAAGTACCGTACACACCCTTTTATTTTGATAGTGGCTAAAACAAGCTTATTCGATGCTGATGCTGATGCGGGCATCATAGGCGATATTACATGCACCATATCTATGAGTATCTAAAAGGAAACTGTTTTCAATCTAGTAACGTTTGTAAAGTTTTGATGAAATCAAATTTTCAAGTGTATTCTTTCTTTAACAGGCAGTTCATTATCAAACAGTCCAGTTGATGAATCTACATCTTACAAATATTCTGATTCACAAATGTATTTTTATCTTTATTTGTAATTTGACCTACCCTAGATAGTATAACCTATTGTCATTAAAACTCTCACAGTTGTTTCACACTATTAGAATTAGAAAAAATAATTCTGCCATTCTTCATTGCCTCGGGGTATACTGTAAATCTTAAAATGAATGCATCTCCATCTTGTTACAACTGCTGCTCATTAAATTATGTTTGTGTTTATATTCAAGTTGGCATTTCCGCTATCCAAAGTGTGCAGTGAGGCTATCTTATTGTTGATAGTCATTTTGGAGACTTAATTCTGGAGTTTCATTAATGCGAACAAAGACCACTCGCATTTTGCACATCTAATTCACACTCTCGTTAATTTCATGATTTACAGTATATATACTTACATGTGACATTGCCACAGCCTCCAGTAGGGATCGCTATTTCGACCTCGCTGTCACACGCTGGACACATCTGAAACATACCCACACACACTTGGTTACTATGTCCGCAGTGCTAAGACTGTCATTACGGTAGTTAAGTTGTGGGATTTACAAAATCACTTTACGGCTACAATCACTTTGTGAAACGGGGACCTGGAATTGACAAGATATAATCAGGATTTAAAATACCCGCCTGCCCGAGAGTCAGAGACAGCCAATTAAGCTGACGGGTGGTCAGTTTTGAAAAGTTGCCCGTCCGATGGTTGGGAGTAAAGTTACTAGGCTGACAATCCACCAGATTATTGTTATTTTCAGATAACTAACATTAAACAGAACTATTCCTATGTTTACCCTTTAGATGATTGATGTTTGTTTGGTTTGTTTGTTTGTTGTTTAACGCCGCACTCAGCAATATTCCAGCTATATGCCAGCTGTCTGTAAATAATCGATTCTGGACCAGACAATCCAGTGAGTGACATCATGAGGATCAATCCACGCAATTGTGATACGGTGACATGCATCAACCAAGTCCGTGAGCCTGACCTCCCAACCCAATCCCCTCTTACAACAAGCAATGTTGTCTTTTTGGGCAAGCATGGCATTGCTGAAGATCTATTGTAACACAGAAAACTGGAAATATTTTATCTCATCTGGTATCTTTGCAAAGTTGCTCTGAAATTTTGAGGAATTTTATACACGATATAATATATTTCTTTTTCTAATGTTTGAACATCAGCAAGTCTTTGAGTCATTCTGATCTGGCTTCAAATTCATGCCTGTTCGTACGCTGCCCTAAGTGTAAAAAATGTTGCAGAACTCACAACAGTGCATCTCCTCGATCTTTAGGATCTGATTGGTCAATAGGGACATAGAAGGGAGTTAACATGTAATAGCCACTGGTAGCGCTACGATCAAGCAAATTTCTACAAGTCCTTATGATACCTTAACTTTTGGGCAGTTTGGCAATGACTACAGGACTAGTGCCGATTTCTAATGCTGATATTTTATGCCAATATGTTGCTTATCTGGAGTTGTCTGGACGTTATCAGCGATGGATAACTGACAACTAACACTGACTGGTTTCTGTCAAATATTAATCATTGTTGGGAACATGGAATACATGTTCATTCTGGGGACAGAGATTTCTTTTCAACATTGAACAATACTTTCAATACTGCACTTACCCAAAAATTTGTTTTTCAAAAATGGTTTGCCATCACACCGAACTTGGAAAACACATGTTTATCGACATTCTGAACACAAACGTTATCTGTAATTTTCTAGCTAGCCCTCTCTTTGTGACCTCCAACTGTTGGGAGACAGATATGACATCACTTTTGGAGTTCTGACTCTAATGACGTCATGCTGGGATGCCATGACCGATCATCAGACAATGGATGACATCATTCACTTCTATGGTAACAGAGTGAGTGAAGGAGTTTGATTTTACGCCACTTTTAGCAATATTCCAGCAATATCACCACGGGGGACACCAGAAATGGGCTTTACACATTGTACCCATGTCAGAATTCAAACATTTGTTTGAATTCTGACATGGGTTTTTCGGCTTGACGAGGGAATGCCACTAGGCTAACCGACCGCCCCTGTGTTAACTGAACTCACCTGGTCACCAGAGTGATGAATACAAACTAAATCCAAATTGTGTGATAAATATTGATCAAATTTCATATCTAATGTGATGTATCCATTAGATTTTATGCAAATTTTGGACAGAGAAAAAAGAATTTCTGATAGATTTCTGGGATCCAATCCCATTTAACATTTCTCAAGCACTCAGATTGCAGCACACACTTCCAATGACATACTGGTACCTGTAGATAGGCGTAGAAGTAGTGAGCAACCTGCACCATGATGCGAGCGAAGTTGATGGAGTTGATGGAGCAAAGATTGTGCCTCTTCGCAAATGCTGCATCGACGAAACACTCTTTAATTGGAACATCTGTATCATCACTGGTTCCATCAGCTGTTGTGGAAAAACAGATCAGCTGATGCATGTCTACAGGAGCAAATGTTGGAAAAACAGATCAGCTGATGCATGTCTACAGGAGTAAATGTTGGAAAAACAGATCAGCTGATGCATGTCTACAGGAGTAAATGTTGGAAAAACGGATCAGCTGATGCATGTCTACAGGAGCAAATGTTGGAAAAACAGATCAGCTGATGCATGTCTACAGGAGTAAATGTTGGAAAAACAGATCAGCTGATGCATGTCTACAGGAGTAAATGTTGGAAAAACAGATCAGCTGATGCATGTCTACAGGAGTAAATGTTGGAAAAACAGATCAGCTGATGCATGTCTACAGGAGTAAATGTTGGAAAAACAGATCAGCTGATGCATGTCTACAGGAGCAAATGTTTGTTGCTTTGTCAGCACCATTCCCATGGGTTTCTCCAAAGTGGTGAATATCTGACTCCTCAAACTCACTCACGTGTTATGGTTTATAGAAATGTAGCAGTTTGTGAATAGCCCCAAAACATGGAGTGAGTGAGTCAGTCAGTGAGTCAGTGAGTCAGTCAGTCAGTCAGTCAGTCAGTCAGTCAGTGTCAGTCAGTCAGTCAGTCAGTCAGTCAGTCAGTCAGTCAGTGAAATTGGCTTCACACATTGTACCTATGTGGGGAATCAAACCCGGATCTTCGGCATGACAAGCGAAAGCTACCCTAACTATCATGAAGATAATGGGCATGGCACTCATCACGGCACCCAGACCAAGACATGAAATATGCAACAGGCCATGGAGAACAGTCCATCTTTACGTATTGTTAATAGCTTTTTTTTGCATTGGTTGCATTAAAACATATTTGTCCCTCATGTTCAAAATTATTGGACAAAAAAACTTTTACACACAAGAGTCAAAGAGAACAAGAGAAGAGTCGGCCAGTGTGTTGAACAGGATTTTCATTGATGTCTCTTGAAGTAGTTTCAGGAGCTATCACTTTATGTATAAAAAGTGATTTCATGGTATTTGATTGGCTAACCAAGCAATTATATTTGCAAAACATAAACATTTTTGTTTAGGCCACACCCACTAATGGACTACTGATTCCTGATTGGCTGATAATAGAATGGGCGGGGCTTGTGTTGTATTATTGTGCTGAACAATCTCAATGACTTCATATTATTGTCTCAGATTTTGTATGTCTATGAACATATTAAGCAGCAGTGTCTGAAATAACTTACTGCCTGCCTGTGGCTGGTAACTTTTCTGTCGGGATGCATGAAATTTTCCTCCACCTGCCCGACTGTCTGGCAAATAATTTTAAGACTACTTACGCATTCAGTCTTATTATAACTCCTTGTAGATTCTCAAGTAATTGTTTGCATTATTTCAACTGACTCAAGACATGATTTGTCTCTATTTGTGTGTGATTTTTCAATAATAATAATGTCTGAATGTGGGCAAGCTACTTTGAAGATGGGCAGATAACACTTATGGGTCACCTGCCCAGCTGACTTAATGGGTTTGAAAATTATTTCAAACACTGTTAAGCAGTTTGCGAAGTTATTATAGTTGATATATCTATTTATAAGAATTGACTTCAAAATGTTTTTACTGCATGGATTTATACAGTATGTATTTGAGTGAGCATTGAACATGTATCTATCATCTTGGTCAAGCAGTTGGGTAACATGATTTGTGGTCTTCTTGACGGAAGACTGCTTATATGCTCAGTAGTAATAACAAATCTCAGATTGATAAACCAAGTTATGAAAAATCAATTCCTCTGAGTTAGAGACAGTGAATACAGTACCTCGATAAACGTGAACATTATCCTCCATCACTGTGGTCATCTGGAGTTCCTGAACCCTGGACGTTCGGCCACGGGGCAGCAACACAATGATGTCCACCCATGTCATCCCACGCACGGACTCGATGGCTGCACTGCCGGTATCTCCTGATGTTGCTGTAAAGGTCACTGAGTTAGGATAATGCCACTTTTGACAGTTGGGTCAATATGAGGAGTGAGTGAGGGGAGAAGAGTTGGGGTTAATGCCACTTTTGACAGTTGGAATTCATTCCACTTTTAATAGTTGTTATAATGCCACTCTGAACAGTTCGGGTTAATGCCATTGAACAGTACCATATTCGACGTAATAAACGCCCAGGGCGCTCTCAAAATGATAAATAGGGGGCTCTTATTAGAATATTATTTTGGTGGAAAAAACAGAGTTGAAAGATAAATTTCGTGGTTTATGCTGACAGCCTGAACTGTTTATATATGACAGATATATTTTTCCAGAATTTAATTGCCCATAATCAAGGGTTCATATAACACATGAGTGAGTATTATACACGAATAAATAAGTCTTGTGTACATTGATCAATCGGAAGGGGTGCTAATTGGGATTGTTCACTAGCCAATATATAAGCAAATATCGCCATGGGCGCTTATTAGAGTGGGGTGCTTATTACGTCGAATGCGGTATTTCAATAAATTCTGTATATCAAGACATGTCAGCTTAATGAAGGACTAAAACCCATCACCCTATCCTGGAACCTAAGGGAGACAACTCTGCAATAATGATAGCTCCTAGCCCCTGATGCTTCGAGAGTAAATAGGAATTAATGCCACTTTTCAGAAGGCACTCAAGACACTATATAGAGAGTGATGTGAAATAACCTCAGTTGAACCATGGCCCAGATAGCTGACCTGGTTTCATGAAACATACCATTACCTGTCAAGATGGTGAGATGTTTTGTCTTCCCATTGTCCTACCTGCCAAGATGGTGAGATGGTTTGTCTTCCCATTGTCCTACCTGTCAAAATGGTGAGATGGTTTGTCTTCCCATTCTCCTACCTGTCAAAATGGTGAGATGATTTGTCTTCCCATTGTCCTACCTGCCAAGATTGTGAGATGGTTTGTCTTCCCATTGTCCTACCTGCCAAGATGGTGAGATGGTTTGTCTTCCCATTGTCCTACCTGTCAAAATGGTGAGATGATTTGTCTTCCCATTGTCCTACCTGCCAAGATGGTGAGATGATTCGTCTTCCCATTGTCCTACCTGCCAAGATTGTGAGATGGTTTGTCTTCCCATTGTCCTACCTGTCAAGATGGTGAGATGCTTCTTCCTCTTGTTGAGAAAGTAGTCAAAAAATTGTCCGAGACAGGACAACGCCAGATCCTTGAATGCCCAGGTGATCCCATGACACATCTCCATGACATTCAGGCCGCCGGGAAACTTCTTTATTGGAATGATGTCAGGGTGGGAGAACCTGCTGAAGGCTTTGTCCACCAAATCTGAAATAGAGCCCTGATGTTGGTTGCCTACTGTCACTGAGATGAAAACATATTGCCCACATGTTGGTTGCCTACTGTCACTGAGATGAAAACATATTGCCCACATGTTGGTTGCCTACTGTCACTGAGATGAAAACATATTGCCCACATGTTAGTTGCCCACTGTCACTGAGATGAAAACATATTGCCCACATGTTAGTTGCCCACTGTCACTGAGATGAAAACATATTGCCCACATGTTAGTTGCCCACTGTCACTGAGATGAAAACATATTGCCCACATGTTGGTTGCCTACTGTCACTGAGATGAAAACATATTGCCCACATGTTGGTTGCCTATTGTCACTGAGATGAAAACATATTGCCCACATGTTGGTTGCCCACTGTCACTGAGATGACAACATATTGCCCACATGTTGGTTGCCTACTGTCAGTGAGACGACAACATATTGCCCACATGTTGGTTTCCCACTGTCTTTGAGATGAAAACAGTAATTTCTATGATTTTTAGCCAAAATGTTCTAAGAAGTATTTCAAAAATTGGTACTGATATCGAAGAATGTCCAATAAAAAATCCCTGTTGACATATGAACTAGGGGAAGTCATTGGACATTTTGATTTTATTTACTGTTCCTTTTGTTTGAGTCTCTATTAACTAATTTCAGCACCAACAAAATATCAAGTAGATCAGTGGGGAAAGGAAACTTACCCTGTGGCTTATCACACATCACTTAAGAAAATAGCAAATTCTTTTTTCTCCCACTAACCCAATGGTATTGGAAAAGAATTATCTTCCAAACTGGTGATAAAAAAAGAGGTCTTAGCTGTATTTACTTACCATTGAGGTCTTCTGATGGAATCTCCTCACCAACAAAGTGTGGAATGACCTTCTTCACCAGCTGTACATAGGAAAGACCTGCCCATGACTTGAGGGTGTCCCGGGAAATCTGGGGGATGGACTCGGGCAGAAGTATCCCTCCATCGGCTGCGTAGCCTGAGTACAGGGCGTCTTCAAACGTAAGTCCATGTACACCACCTCTTGTACTGGCAAACTTCATGTTTTGACTTGAGTGATCAAAGGTTTCTTATTTCTTTTCTATATATTTGGCCAGGTCCTCTGCTTGCTATTATCTATCCTGAATGTCTGCAGACAATCTGAGAAATAAAGAAAATAAGCATCACATGCAGGAATGAAAATGAATCACATATACTACTCAAAAGAAGTTAAGGATCATCCGATTCTTTCATATTGGTAATGTTAATCTGTCATGGCATGAGAGATTAACTATTGTAATATGGAAGAATCAGGTGATCCTTAACTTCTTTTGAGTAGTATATTTGTGCCCAACCATGAGATAGGGGACCTTATGGGTGAAAAAACACATGTTGGTTGCCTACTGTCACTGAGATGAAAACATGTTGCCCACATGTTGGTTGCCCACTGTCAGTGAGATGACAACATGTTGCCCACATGTTGGTTGCCCACTGTCACTGAGATGAAAACATGTTGCCCACATGTTGGTTGCCCACTGTCACTGAGATGAAAACATGTTACCCACATGTACCAGAAAGGTGCCTCACAAATTATACAGTGACTGCTTTGTGCACTGGCACATCGTCCTGATGGAAGAGCACACCTTTTCTCAGCTTCCCTCTTCCTCTCTTAGACTTAATTTCAGAATATGCTCAGCAGAATATGCTCAGCTTATTGTATAATGCTACAATTGAAAATATTCTACATAATTATTCTCTCTTAAGGGGATGATTTCATTCACACTTTGAGGTGTCTGTGCAATGCTGCCATGTAGCAGATCTGAATTCCATAAACCAAAATTTACAGTGAGTGCTGTTTTGTAAGAATTCAAAGTTGTCAAGCTGAAATTGTTGATGCATACATCATTTTCATAAGCTTTGTGTTTGATAGGTTATTTGAATTTGTTACAATTATTATAAAGCTACATAGGCCTACCTCCGTATCCCTGTAGATTGGGGTAGTGGGGTAGTGGGGTAGTGGGGTAGTATAGTGGTTAAAGCATTCACTAGTTACCCCAAAGGCCCAGGTTTGATTCCTGACATGGGTACAATGTGTGACGCCCATTTCTGGTGTCCCAAGCCATGATGTTGCTGAAATATCGCTAAAATCATCTTCACTCACACACCCTGTATATAGACCGCCTTCAGTCAGCTGGAATATTGCTGAGTGGGTCGTTAAACAAAAAAATAAATAAACAAATAAAAAGATAGTACGTTTTGTGTCTGACTGAAAAGGGCCAATGCTGATTCAGCCTGACACCGTACAGCATGGATTTTCGACGACGCAATGATTGCTTCAGCGCAGTTCTAAATGTCAAAGCATGCCAGTAGACATGTAGTCTAGACAGGACAGCGATCTAATATGACTGATGTCCCAAATACGTATTAATACTTACATCACAACGTTGCTTTTATAACGGTGAACAAGACGTACTTCATGGGGCTGACCAGAGACCATATATCGGTAGTCTCTGGGCTGACAAAATAGTGAGTGACAGTACGTGACAACCCTGCCTTCGTTCGTGGCTGCACTATACTTAATGTTCTTACCGTTTAGATGCAAACTATACGCGTGTCCACATCCTCTGCTCACACATATCCAGACATTCGAAATGATAAGGAAAGGTTATTTAGTTGACCCGGGCCGAAAAGCTTACAAGACAAAATGGCAAATGGTGTCAACATCAAAACGGCCCGAGGAAACTGTAAAAAATCAAACCATCAAAACTGACGTAATGGTAAGATAGAATGGTATGTCCGCAACGAATTAAAGTGAGTGAATATGGTTTTACGCCGCTTTTAGTAATATTCCAGCAATATCACGGCGGGGGACACCAGAAATTGGGCTTCACACATTGTACCCGCGTGACGAGCGAACTAGGCTACCCGACCGCCCCTCAACGAATTAAAACAAGTATTTGTCACAGAGTGACGAAATATCCCCCGCCTGTACACCATAGTACCAAATATGAAGACAATCCAGCGATTAGTTCTTGAGATATTGTGGCAACACCGTTTTCCAACTCCAAAAACAGATTTGCCTGCTGTGACCTTGAAAATGGGGTCAAGGTCACCAAATCTGACAGGTGTATGCGATGTCTGTATATACACTATAGTTCCAAATATGAAGACAATCCAGCGATTAGTTCTTGAGATATCGCGGCAACACCGTTTTCTAACTCCAAAAGCAGATTTGCCTGCTGTGACCTTGACAATGGGGTCAAGGTCACCAAAACCGACTGGTGTCTGCGGTGTCTGTATATACACCATAGTTCCAAATATGAAGACAATCCAGTGTTTAGTTCTTGAGATATCGCGGCAACACCGTTTTCCAACTCCAAAAGCAGATTTGCCTGCTGTGACCTTGAAAATAGGATCAAGGTCACCAAAACCGACTGGTGTCTGCGGTGTCTGTATATACACCATAGTTCCAAATATGAAGACAATCCAGTGTTTAGTTCTTGAGATATCGCGGCAACACCGTTTTCCAACTCCAAAAGCAGATTTGCCTGCTGTGACCTTGAAAATAGGATCAAGGTCACCAAAACCGACTGGTGTCCGCGGAGTCTGTATATACACCATAGTTCCAAATATGAAGACAATCCAGTGTTTAGTTCTTGAGATATCGCGGCAACACCGTTTTCCAACTCCAAAAGCAGATTTGTCTGCTGTGACCTTGAAAATGGGATCAAGGTCACCAAAACCGACTGGTGTCTGCGGAGTCTGTATATACACCATAGTTCCAAATATGAAGACAAATCAGTGTTTAGTTCTTGAGATATCGCGGCAACACCGTTTTCCAACTCTAAAAGCAGATTTGTCTGCTGTGACCTTGAAAATAGGATCAAGGTCACCAAAACCGACTGGTGTCTGCGGAGTCTGTATATACACCATGGTTCCAAATATGAAGACAATCCAGTGTTTAGTTCCTGAGATATCGCGGCAACACCGTTTTCCAACTCCAAAAGCAGATATGCCTGCTGTGACCTTGAAAATAGGATCAAGGTCACCAAAACCGACTGGTGTCTGCGGAGTCTGTATATACACCATAGTTCCAAATATGAAGACAATCCAGTGTTTAGTTCTTGAGATATCGCGGCAACAAACAGGTGGGACGTACGGACGGACGTACGGACGTACGTACGGACGGTCGTGAATACTATATCCCCCGCTTCGCGCTTTCGCGCGGCGGGGGATAAATATTACTCATAGTAAGCCGATACCTATGGTGGCCGAGAGGGGACATCGCTTTCTCGCTCTCTCGCTTTCTCGCTCTATCGCTTCCTCTAATGATTAACCATAGTCATATGAAAGAATCGGGTGTTCTTTAACTTCTTTTGAATAGTGTGTACTGTAAATCTGGAAATTAACGTTAGAGTTAATTATAAATGCAAAATATTGGAGTAGACTTAATTACCGTATTCGACGTAATAAGCGCCCAGGGCGCTCTGAAAATTACAATATTATTTTGGTGAAAACAAAGTTGAGTTGAAAGATTAATGTCGTGGTTTATGCTGACAGCCTGAAATGTTTATGTACGACAGATATATGTTTCCAGAATTTATTTGCCCATAATTAAGGGTGCCTGTAATGCACGAGTGCGTATGAGGACTTCCACTTTGATATAAGCGTTGTTATTAGGAAAACACTATTGTTTTTTAGGAAGTACGTACTACTCAGTGCTAATGGGTGGTGTTATTTGCTATTTGTTTTGATAACTTGGCCTGGGGGCGGGGGATCCAATAGCTAAATAGGGCCATAAATCAATCAAATATTTTTTTTTTACGCAGAAATACGTGGATTGTTATAAAAGCACCTATGTCTGTACTGTTAAATTATGTTCAAGTAGATAGTGAGAAAATTTCAACATTCCGTCCATATGTATAATTTGAAATGTGACTGGAAAAATCTCAGCTGTCTTTTATCATTAAAACCCACATCAGCCCCCGCACACTGAGGTCAGGTTTAACAATTCATTAATGTTGTTTTACGTATATACTTTTTATTGTAAAGAAACACATAACACATGCGACCCATATAGTGGCCAAGAGGGAATATTGCTTTACCGCGAGAAAGCGATAGAGCAAGAAAGCGAGAAAGCGCGATGTCCCCTCTCGGCCACCATAGATACCAGTAATAGATTATTGAGAAATACAATTTTTGATTCACCAGAGACCAAAGCTTGAACACTTGTGGTTTTGTGAACACCAGCGTTGCGGAAACAAAATTAATTCACTGGACCCACCTTTCACAGAGAGGCGATGTCAGTGCATTAATTGTTGCAGATGACTGAATATGTCATTCACTGTTCGTGACAATTATTATGTGACGTACGTTCCAGCAATTAATTTTTACTGAACCTCTGTATGCTTTTTTCTGATTGTCTGGATCACACAAAAATCGGAACACATGCTGTAATTTCAAGATGCAGTTCTACGTACGGTACCTCAAGACAAGATTACTGTAGCTCACCTGAGCCCCTCAAAGATCCAGGTTAGAATTGGTTTTTTTTGCAACCCATTCATGCTTGTCGTAAGAGGCGGCTACTAACGGGAACAGGTGCATGTCAGGCACGCTGGCTTTGTTGATGCATTGGAGGGTGGTCGAGCAGTCTAGTTCGGGTTCGGGTTCGATTCCGAATATATATATCCCCCCTATATAAAAATTCTCTAGGGGTATATATTTTTATTTACTGACCAATAACGAGTTCCTGTGATCGATACGCGATTATTTACAGATCACCGTCATATCGATATAGCTGGAGTGAATTGCTGAGTGATGCATCTTGTAAATTTTCCCTAAGCCGTGTTACTACCGTGAACAATCCCCAGCGAGTGCAACACCACGCTGCACGAATCATAATAATCGATCGAAGCACGTGGCACCAATTTTGCAGAAGCTTCACTTTCTTCCTGTATAACAAGGCATCAGGCAAACTTATGACCCTCACTTATGCAGCAATAAATGAAACTGAATCCCCAAGCTACATAAAAATATAACCTTTGGATGTTGCAATCTCGTCCCTGTAATATATGTTGTGAAGCACTCCTAAAATATCCATGTCAGTCCCATATCCCTACAAGCATAATACCATGCTCCTCACAGCGATAGTACGTTCCCGGAGCTCTCTATACTATCGCTGCCACCAGTCAAAACTTCACACTGTGTAAGGCGACTACAGCCATGCATGGAGCTAGGGCCTAATCGTGACCTATCGAACTACAGACAGGTGACCTTATGTTTACGCGAATGGCCGTGATAGAGCAGACGAAATTATACCCTATTAATTGTTTTGTTTGTTTGTCATCAGGTAATTCCATTTCTTTTAAATTGTCTGGCAGGAAGTGTGTCGAGGATAATATTCTTGCAAAACTGTGTTTTCTGTTGGATGCCGAGACAGTTTCTTTGCTGCATCACCACGAAGCTGGTTTGTGTAGAAACTGTTTCATAAAAATAAATAACTTTATGAAATTTAAGGATGGATTGCAAACCAGCGTGAAGAAATATATTTGCAGAGATAACAAAATCAAAAGGCATTCACTATTGACGGATTGTTCCACACCTGACAGCAAGCGGCAATCAATTGCATGCGAGGTTGAGGATATTTCAGGTGAGCGTTCCCGTACATGAGAAAATATGAAACTTTTTTTCATGCCCCTAACCTCCTTCTCAACAGCCCATCCGATGTTCCTTATCTTGAGTTGTTTACTGCTGTTTGTTGTCACTATCATTCTAACCGGAAATGAGTAGACTAGTCTGTTTATTAGACATAATACGTAATAATGATAATAATAATATTTATTTATTTTATTCATGGTTAAACTAAGTGCTGTTAGGAGATCTTTTGGGACCCTTAAATAGATTTTCTTGCTTTATTGCATATGTCTCATTTGATAAATCAACTTTGAAACCTCAAGCACACATTTGGAATTGTGATTCATCTGTTGCAAAGAATTTTAACTAAGCATGAGGTAGAAGCTAAAATATTTGCAAAACATATTATTGCATTGCTGGAGCTCAACATCCTCTGATGGCTGAAGCAAGACCGACTGGTATTGCTTTCATCGTCATTTACAGTGAGTGCCCTTTTATATTTTCATACATTTATGTTTTTAGAAAGTGTGGAATGTTCACACATATGATATACTATTTCTGCAAGTTTATTAACATTTATAAATGGCAAATTTCTACTAGTCGTTATGATACCTTAACAATTGGGCAGTTTGGCAAGGACTGAAGGACTTGTGTCAGTTTCTGACGCTGATGATGGGTTAACCCTTTGATTTGCATAATAACAAAGTGTACATATTTTCACATTGAAATTAGATGTAATGAAGCTTTTGAATGGTAGTCTGAAAGAGTAATCTTTAGACTCGGTTCGATTCCGGTCAAAGGCAAACACATCGAGAATACTTATTCACTGTGTGTATTCTTACTTTGTGATGTAATAATATATTCTTGTGTTAATATCCTTATTATTATTAATGTTGTATGTTTTCCAACAACAAAAATAACTTTAGTGCAAAATAAAAATGTTATTTTTTGTGTTTAAATTTTTATGTTAAAGGGACACCTTTCCTTAAATAATGATCGATATGTTTTAATATAAGAAACTTCTTAAGTAAGTTATGTCAGCTCTTCTCAAAGTGTACATTGAAGGAAGCTAGGTACATAGATGCATCTGTTTTTCATAATGTACATATTTGTACTCTGTATAAAAAATAATTACTAGTTATGTTACATTGGTGCAGTTAAAATGACCTAACACTGGATTAATAGTTATGTAATACCAATATTTGTAGTTTTGGTCATTGGGCCCTTTATATTGAAAAAATATATGTGTGTCGTGATTGATGATGTTTTACCAGAATTGTGTATTACCAGACAATTTGTAACTAGGCAGTGTCAGCTCCTACATTTAAATGATTGGCAGTACCATTTACATTCACAGAGTTAAACATTGACCTTTCCACGTGCAAAAAGAATGCCACAAGTTACACTGAAAACAAGAGAAGTTCACCTGCTTCCCATAATGAAGAATCAGATGGTATGGCCTATTTCTCCCTTTTTTCACAGATGATAGATACATACAGAGTTAGAGATACTGATACTACATTTGTACTGTATTCTACTGTAAATATGAAATTTGAAAGGAACTTTGGTTGTATAAGGAAGTAATGTGATTTAGCTGTAGATTATTTAAGAATTAGTTTTCCTTTGTCATATCTTTAAAATACATAAATTTTCATTGGCCTAATATGTATTTTCTTATTTTTGAATATAGCATCATCTTTTTCTGTGCAAAAAGAAGCTGAACACATTTATGCAGCCTCACCGTGTACCAAAATCTGTTCTAATGGTAAATGGCCTGTGGTATATTACACATAATACTATTAGAGTAATAGAAAATACTTTGAGTAAATAATAATGTTTGTAAATGTGTTGAAATGAAATAAGCTATATTAATAAATTATTGGAAAAATGTGTTTCACATATGATTTATGCGTAATACAATATTTCCTTTGCACCTATTGTACTCATGCTTGTCCTGATGATTGCTTATCTGATATTGTTGTCTATTTCTGAACATTTAGGGACAGGACCCGATGAAAAACCAAAGGCTGCAGTTGGTGAACACAACTATTGTTTGGATTTGCCACCAAAACAAAAGCTACCATCTACATTTTCAACTCATGGTACATACATGAAATTAAGTATCTAATAGGACCAATTCTACTTTTATGTTTTGAAGAGATAAAAATGTTATTTGATAGGAGAAAGTTAATGTCTTCTTTAATTTAAATAACTACAGAAGCCATCTACATTTATCAAAAGCGTAAACTGAAATATATATATATATTTTTAGTATTTCTATCAGATGAGTAATGGATTCTGATATATGGAAAAAATACAACAATGGTACCAGTATTTTTCGCTGTTTAGAGTCATTTGCTGAAGTTGGGAAACAGCCACAGCAGACATATTTACATGGACTAATGCAAGCAGTTGCATCTGAGGACTTGGAGCAAGTTGTGACCTTACTTTTGTCCCACCCCAGTTCAAGAAATAAAATAAACGAGAGAGTGATACAGCAGCTACAGTCAGACTGTCAGGAGCTATCATCATTATCATCTCCATCGGTTCTCAGGGAGCAATCAAGTCTGCAGAATCTTACAGATAGCCATGACTTTATAGGTCAGGTATTTCAGGAGATGAAAGAAAGGTAATCTAATTTGATGAGTGAATTTACAATATGAGGTAATATTTGGGGAAAAATGTCATGTTTTAATTGTAATAAAACTTTTATCATGATTGTTATATAGGTCAGGTATTTCAGGAGATGAAAGAAAGGTAATCTAATTTGATGAGTGAATTTACAATATGAGGTAATATTTGGGGAAAAATGTCATGTTTTAATTGTAATAAAACTTTTATCATGATTGTTATATGAGTAATATAATACTAGTTTTAATATAAGTTTGAGTACAAAAGTTACCAAAACATTGGTTGAATCCCTCAACTTTTAGCTCACATAAACTGAAATGACATGATTCTTTTTATGGTGAGATGTTTTTACCTTGTCAGCTACACTAATTTGCCTTTTCTTCATCATTTTTTAGCTTACCTGAAAGTGAAAGAACAAGTGACCTCTATTTAATGGGTTATAATGTCTTTCTTGCAGTCTTTTATATGTAGTGGTTATTTTATTTGAATACTTATGCATGTCAGGTGATAACAGTGTTATGTGAAGAGGAGCTTATTTGGTTACACTAAACTCCCTCTAGAATGAATTATGTACCTTTGACTATGTTTACCAAAAATATATGGCAAGATCACTGTGTTGTTCATTTGCTAAGTAATCCTGCTTTTATTGTACTGAAGAAACAGCCCTTATTCTGAGAACATGGAAGGCATCAAAATATAGTTCATAATTTGCTAGTTTCATACTGTTTTACTAGGGCACCATTCTTGTTGGCTGTAATGTCCACTGTAACTGGATGTATGGATGGTGAAATTCCACTCAATAAAGTGGCTGCAATAACGTCATCATACTCCATACTGATGCGTATGCGAAACATCCATCTAACAGCATGGCATAAGATGGTGGGATGCATTCTCATAAGAGGACATTTAGAAGATCAGGTACAGTACTATAAAGCATTTGTTATTGATAGTAATGATTTTGAGGATAGAGTTGTAATTAATATATATATATATGTACATGGCATATACACATTACCAGTTTACAATGGTCATGGACACATGTCTATTTGGAAACAATATTGTTTTAAAAAAAATAAACATTTTAAATATATGTGTTAGCCCATCAGAACCTGTATTTTGTCTGATGTTTAATGCTAAAATTGATTAAGAAATTATGTCCCCCCATTTTTATAAATTTTTATACTGTCCCATTTTAATTATGTTGATAAATTAAATTTCTGTGTTAAATTGAAATATGACTATGCTTCTTTTTCAGTCATTGTATGTCTAATCCAGGCTTTCCGGTGCACATTCTATGACGTTATTTACAGAGTATGGTACTACTGAGCAACATTGGATTGTGCCAATCCCCAACTACCAAACTCCGAATGATGGCCCAGGCAGTGACTCAAACAAAGCTTAACATTGTTCGATCATTACAATGTAATCCATTGATCAAGGTAATTACTCAATGCAAAGAACACAACAAGTTAATTTATTATTGAGCACTGTTACATTGAAATATGTCTTCTATGTGTTCCATTAGTTATCATTTTAATGTTGTATGACTGAATTAATGCAGTATTTGAACATGATGAATGTGATATGATTCATTTCTTATAGATCACTGGAGACAATTTGGATGTCTATATCAGGTCATCTAAAGTAGGATCAACTAAAAATGACAACAAGGATCTTCACATGTTTGCATCAAACATCATTTTCTCCAAGTTTGCTGACATTAACTTGAGCACTTCACCACCACCTCTATCCTCTACATGCATCAACGCATCTGATGTCCTCCCGAATGAAGACACTTTGAACAAGTTATCCTCAGCTTATATTGTTCTCATTGGCAGAATACTGAAGGTTAAGAATCATATAATATATGTTATTAATATCTGGCATGCTCAGATCAGATTTACTAATATCTAAATGAATGAAACATAAAGTTTTATAGATCCTTTTGTTTAGCTGTGGATTAGGAAGTTGTTTAGGTTTGACATATTTTGTAAGGGTTTGAATTCAAATGCTTTGATGTGAGAGAAATTGTTATTGATTTCATGCCAGCTGTAACTGTTATCTGTTTCATCTGTTAGCTGTTATTCATTGTGTTTCAATCCATTATTTCAGGATATTCCAGCACTATCATGGCTCAACATCCCAACACACATTCCACACAGCCACAGTAAAACAGCATCCATGAAGACAGAGGTACATCCCATGCCACTGTTATTCAGCAATGAAGCCAAGTATGAAGAATGTGTGAAGATTCTTGATAGCTATGAGGATCAGTTGACAGAACTCTTTACAAGTGCACATGGTGATGATTACAACTTCATTTACATGTTTCATATTGCTCTTAATTGTAAATAAAATCATCTTTTCCTGAAACACTTTATTGCACTTTAGAGTAGTTTTCAATTGAATGCATCAGTACCCAACGTAAATGTAATCTGATATGAGTGTTATGACACTAATTAATGGATATTAAAAATAGATTTATTTAATTAAAAGTTGCACATATTTGTTTGTTAAAATTTGTATGTGTTTTTTTGTTTGTTTTTTGTTTAACATCGCACTCAGCAATATTTCAGCTATATGATGGTGGTCTGTAAATAATCGTGTGGCTGAAGACCTATTCTACCATGGATCTTCATGGGATTTGTGTAGTATCATAACAGTAGTCACAACAGGTTATCATTGTGGAATTAGATGAATCTACTTTTAGAAACAATAACAATTTGAAATGATTATCTAACTAATAAATATTATATTCAAATTATTTTCTCGTTTTACAGGTGACCAATCAGCGCTAAGGGAACTTCATGTTCCAGTCGGTGGGGATCAGCTCACCAGGGTAAGGCTTGAGGGTGCCAAGAGTCTCAGAGCACTTTCTCCTACACCTGCCAAAAGATTTGATGATCTTGGACCATTTGTTATTGAATGGTGGCACAACAAGCAGGACTTTTTGGAGGTATTTCATCTTTACTTGACTGGACTCGACCTTGCAACATCATTTGTTCACATTATACCAATCAAATTATCAATATTGTCACAATTTCATGTCATGTGCCTTTGTATTTCATTTATACGTATTTATGAAAACGAAAATATTTAGATAGCCAACAGAAACATCTTATGAGGGCAAAGAAAAAATATATTTCCTTATGATATACTAGTAACAACTTGTATTTCACATCAATGTCAGGATTCTAATACGGAAAGTCAAGTGTTAAAACTTTTGACTGCTCGTGAGTTATGTAACAGTGCCATCACACTATGTTTATATAATACACTGACACTGTATATTTTTTTTCACAGAAGGCATACAAGGCTTTGTTCAGCCCAAGGTCAATTAGACAGCCAGGGACACTATACTTCTACAAAGCCAAGTTTAACATGACAAATGTCAATGGAAATGTTAAGAGGAATTTTCAGTCTCATCATGACCTACTTGTTCATGTTGGAAAAGCTGTTATTGTGGAACAGGCACGTGAATACTTTGGTAATCACTGATGACAACAACACAGCTTTGAAGAATATTCCTGTTGATGTTTTCAACCTGTCTTTGGAAGAGAAAACCACAGCGTCAGAGGCAGTTTTAAGAGCTTTCCTTGTCCACTATGGATACCTTGATTTAACGTTCAAGGATTCTTGTGAAAGAATGTATTTGATTTTTCATGTAAATGCTGATGGTACAGTGGTGGAAGAAAAGTCTCAGTTTGAACCTGATGAAGTCTACAGTTATTGCCAGCAACTATTCCACTGGGCTCTCCATTTAATGGAGCTTGATGACACAGCCAAAGAGGGAGACAGTGATAGACTTATCCATAATGCCAAGATGAACATTCCATTCTTTTTTGCCCATTCTTCACAGAGTAAATATTTTGTGGAGAATATTGACTTTCTCATTAAAGTCTGCTACTTGCTCTCTCCAATGATGAAAGAACTTGTCCTTGACACAGCTTTCATTAACACCAAGGGAGGAATTTCAAATTGTGTTGAGGCTGACCTAGTGCAGGAACACAGCATAAAGAATCAGAAGGCGCTCATCAAACAACTTGGTGCCAACAAGACCAAAAACGCCATGATAACAGCAACAGGTGCAGCAAGTGCAATATTCAAAGTTTGTGACAACCTGAGGATATCTCTTGGAGTCAAACGACAGTCAACCAGACATTCCAAAAGGATTTGTATTTCTCAGATAGAGTCAATTCAAAAATCACTTAATGAATTGAGGCCATTTCATCATTGTGCAGGAAGAAAGTGTCATGGGTTTAAGGGCATTGTATCATCCCCTTTCAGAAAGTTCACAAAATCTAGTCTTTTCATCAGAGTCCAAGATATTGTGTTCAGATTGATGAAAGGTGATCATATTGACATGGATGACAGATGTAATCAGTCTGATGATACCAGTGATTCGGTTGCTGCTGCTGATGATGGCGATAGTGATGATGAACTTCCACCTGTGTAGTTGTGGCAGAGTGATATTTTGTATATACAACTTATGTTATAATTCTATTTTAGCCATAGTTTTATTAAAGGCGACTATGCTTGTCGTATAAGGCGACTAACGGGATCGGGTGGTCAGGCTCGCTGACTTGATTGATCCATGTCATCGATCCCAATTGTGTGGATCAATGCTCATGATGTCAATCACTGGATTGTATGGTCCAGACTCGATTACTTTACAGACCATCGTCATATAGCTGGAATATTGCTGAGTGCGGCGTTAAACAACAAACAAACAAAACATTCAGAATTTAATTCATGGAGCCAATGGACGTGTTAATTTCATGGATTTGAAGGTTAGTTGTAGTGTATTTCTTCTGTGATGCTTTATATGTATTTGTGTATTTCTAAATCTTACAGTTAGAAATAGGTTGTGCTAGGTTTATTGCTAGTCAGGTTGTGTATTGAATTCACAGTTCAGTGTATCTGGTTATGATTATTTTATATGATAAAGTATTATCATGATTGTAAAGAAGTTTCTTTAATTGATAAATAGTTATTTTTTTCTAGGCTATTATCATCTTAACCTGAACATTAACTAAGTAAAACTAAACCCTAAATAAACTCATAGTAATTCTCATACCTCATGCAGTAATTCTCATACCTCATGCCGCCCTCGAAACGATCTTCTTCCATGACACAATGATTAATGTAACGTTCACCTCGACGTCGGTATACGCGAATCCGTCCGTGGGGATTGCATAAAAGTCAACTTTTGCATGAAATGCATGCTTTTCTGTAGCAGTTGCGGTTTTGTGACTTGATTCCATATATGTACTACAATATTGAAAACCAAACTTTACTTGTTTGAAAAATACACTAAAATATTGGTGTCACAGGAACTTTTGTTGTTGAGTATATATTACTGTATCTTTCTGCAGGTTACTTACTACATGAGTAACATAGGTTTCTCGCTATTTCTCGCTATTTTAAGTTATATAATTGAATGTCCATTAGATTTAAGGCCATTCTGTATATTATAACAATGTCATTGTTCTATGTCTTTTGTGCAGTATGTCTTATTATTTATACATTGTTTCACAGCATATTTATTCCCCTCTCTCTTCTGAGAAAATAAACATCCATCAGCTCACACCTGTAGCCGTTTGTTGTGTTTACTACCCTGACAACAAGGTGCTACTACATAGTTATTCTCAAAATATTATACTGTGTATTTAGTGTGACAAAAATGTTATCAGTGGTAGAAACAAACATGTTTAGTCCACTAGTCCTTATAATGATAACGATATAGCAAAATCCTTAAAAATGGAATTTTTCTAACCGTCCTAATGATACCTCAGTGATGATACCTTAAGTATTGGGCAGTTTGGCAAGGACTACAGGACTAGTGCCAATTTCTAACGCTGGTTATACTAATCCTGGATGATAGTGATGAGTGACTTTCACCTGTGTATTTAGTGTGACAAAAATGTTATACTGATGGCTGATGATAGTTATGTGTAACTTTCACCTATGTAGATAGAGGAAAAGTTTGAAAACGTTTGCCAAAACTAGGTGTCAAAGGTATATTTAAGAAAGTGTTAACAGTGTTGCAGACTTCTATTAAATTTCCCCCAGACCACAGGACTGACAACTTGAAAATCTTACCAGTCCTTGTCAAAAGTTGTCAGTCGAAAACAGAAGATGAATTTCACTTTTTGCTTGTATGTAGTAGGTTGTTTTCTATTTAAAAAAAGTACACCCATTTCAAGCATTGGAAATATCTTCATAAATTTATCCTATTAATGGCTTCTAAAAATAATGATCTAATGTATAACTTAGCCTGTAAAAAATGCAATTGCACCAGACAAGTCACTTGAAATGTATAAAGAATTAATTATAAGTCATAAATATGTTTGTATGTAACAATGAAAGACATGTAACAAAACCTATGGCCTAACAGCAGTGAACAACCAATAGAAGAAGTGAATACTATTTTATTCATCTGAGCCTTAATGGAAAGGCTTTCTTGGAACTAGAGGATAACTGCAAATATCAATATCACATTTTATATCATAAAGTTGTCATCTTCAAGAATATGTCAATATTTCACAGAAATAATTGGAAAAATTTTAAGCTGTGATTTCAGTGTACAAATTGTACATATCTCTTGGTAGTGAGGAATTATTAATGTTAAAATGTACTCTATATTTAGGAGACATACTATGTTTTCAATGTAGAGCTAGGTTACCTGTAAATTATGGCGCTAAATTGAAGTGGAACCCAATGCGCATCTCGACATTTAAAATACAGTATGTTTATCTCCATTCTACAATAACTAAATAAAACACGAACTTGGTGTTAGCAAATATTAAAGCACAATGAGTTAAGCAGCATGAGTTAAACGTTAAAAGATGGTACTTGTTGTTACCCTGTCTGGCGCTCGGCATTAAGGGGCTAAAACAAGGACTGGTCGGCTCGGAGTCAGTATACTGTGTCTGAGTGGGGTATTCATGTTAAACTGCGGCATGGTATCTCAGTGAGCTATCACTATAAATCGGCATCAGTCCGGAGGAGTACAACGCTATCTTCCAACACTGGACCCACATTGATCCAATATCTTTGTGTTTGCTTGGTTCTTTTTCAGCCATACATATATTAACATGGCTATATTATTATTATTTAGGAGGTCAAAGATATATCACATTGCAATAATAATGGTGTGTAACTATATTTGAGAGTTGCAGAAATGTTGAGCACATCAGTTTTCTTCAGATTATTTACAGCATGAGCTACATTTACAACAGAAGCGACAATTAACGCAGCACATACATCCTTTTGGACTTTTGTCATTTTTTTCAAATCCAAACACATTCAACAAAAGGGTTCTCATACATGATGTTGTTTTGCAGTATTCTATGATATCCAGTTGTATGCCTGGCAGATTGGCTTTGATGTCATTGTTATCAAAATACAAAAGGGCTTCTGCTTGCTGATTTCTCCGCCCAGCTCTGCCGATTTCCTGAAGATATCTGGAAATGCATCTGGGCGGGCAACAGTGAATGACTCTTGTTATGTTCACAGGGTCAAAACCCATACCAGCACTAGATGTTGCTAATATTAGTCTAATTCTGGGGTCTGGTTTCTTTAATTCTTCTAATGTTACATCAGTAATTTCCTTGTCTTGAGTAGAATATAAACATGAATACCTGGATGCATGAATTGTTTGTTTACCAAACATTTGGGTTATGTAGCGAACTGCTTCACTCATGTATTTCATAGGCAGAAACATGAGGGTAACTGGGTACAGATCAGGATTGGCATACAATTTGTCAATTTCTGGTACATAAATGTTTTCAAATACTCCAACAACATCTCCACACTCATAAATACTATCCTTGCATATTTTGGATAAGTAGATGTTTGGGCGATCCGGCACATCCTGGATTATTGCAGGATCAACCATTCCAAGAACTGAAGGAAGTCTTGCCAGTTGTAGAACAGTCAAAGTTCCACTCAAACCAATGAACATGGCATTGGTGAATACGGCTGGCAAATTCTTCAGGGAATGATATCCTTTCCTGAATTCTTTACCCCTGTATTAGAAGATTAATTATGTTAACTTTTTATGCTGTCCCTTTATGGCAAAAGACAGAGAACACACACTCGAAAGTCAAATTAATAAAGCAGGTAAAATTAGGGTTCATGTACTAGGACAGACTCTTATTACTTTATGAGTATTTTAATTGTAACTTCATTACAATGAGAATAAATGTGTTTAAAGTACATTATTATGCATATTATATTTTGACATTAACATGTTGTTTGGTTATCTTGCTATTACTTAGAGTTGATAAATATTTAATCAAACAAATCATTGTTTCTTACCATTCTTCAACAATATGACACTCATCAATGAAGACTGCCTTGATTTCTTTCGAACAGAATTCAGTGTCTCTCAACTCATTCATCACGTTTAACAGTCCCTCTGGATGACACATGATGATGTTAAACTTTGATGTCAAGACATCAGCCATACAGCTGTCTCCATCAACAGTGTACACCTGGAAATATTTCTATAGATTAACTTAAGCAAGATTGTTATAATTTTCGGTTACAATATCTCATGTTAGGCATTGTAATAAGCTAGTTTCTCTGCAAAAACATCAAAAGGAAGAAATAAAAAAACAGAAAAGTGAGAAAAAAAATATGATTCATAAGAAGACAAATGGACACAAACATTTACAAATAGAAGTAAAATGAATATATGTATTTTGGGCATGTGAGTTTTTATGGTTTGGAGATCAAGGTTAGGATATTGAAATATTGTAGGTTGTGCATGTACATCATGCTGTCATAATATCATACTGTCATGTCACTTCAAACAGACAAAATTACACAGTAAGCCACTTGTAATAAAAAACACAACCTAAAACACTCTTAACAGACGTTTTCTACAATAAATGACTGTAATGGGAAAACTCACCCCATTATACTTATGACATAATTTTTTTAAATATACCAACATAAAATTTGCTGTCTTGATATATATCACCACTACAGATAAAACATTATAAATACTAATTCATGCAACCTTACACTTTCTGTATTATCAAATTCCAAAGTCACAACACCGCTTGCCTAGCTTCATAATATTTTTAATGATAATTTACATGTTTCATCAAACGTATTGAATACTTCAGAAGTATGTGGACTTACAGTTTGTCAATATATTTTAACCAGACAATGGGAAATGTACAGGTTTTTTAACCTCAACATCACTTATTAGAACTTTTTTTAACCAATTAAATCCGATGGTTACTTCGTTGTATTTTTGTTAAATTGATTTTATTAGATATTGGTAGGGGGTTGGGGGCGGGGCCGTGGGCGGGACCGGAGGCGGGACCGGAGGCGGAGGCAGGTTCTTCGTAGAATAATTACTTCACCAATCGCTAGTTCATTTAGCCAATATCTATCACAAAAGACATTCACAATAGACAGTCACCTTGCCCTCAACGTCAATTCGGCAAGCCGGTATGTTGAGTTTCTGCAGATGAAGAAGCTGATCATTTTGGATAATGTTCAGAGGACTGACAACGATTACAATACCGGCAAGTATGTACGGTGCTAAATGGTACAAAATACTTTTACCATAGCCAACAGGTAAATTAACAATAAGGTCTCTTTTATCTTTTGAAAAACTGGCAATTTTCTCTAATGCTTCTAGCTGTTTTGGTTTAAATTTGTCATGACTATTGCCAAAATAGAAAATACTCAAGGCGTCCATAGCAGACGAATTCGTGACAGCGTAGTAATATATTTTGTTCACAACATTGGTAAATAGAAAAAATCTACGTAAACAAAATAGTCCATGACAAGGGGTATAAATTTTATACAAATCTGGTTTCTGTTTTGTGTTTTTTGCTCGATATCCACTGTTAACATTTTTCATCGTTAATTTTTTTCAATATAGCTATTAACAAACATTGATTTCATATGACATCTCGAACCAATTTTGCATCTGACAAATGTCGATATGTTTCATGCGCAATACCACAGCAATTTCTTACGAACAATTTTACAAAATAAATCACTTGATTCGACACAAAGACACCACAAATATATATATATTGAGTACATTTTGGGTTAGAGGGCAAATTTCAAGATTCCTGTAATGGCCGCGCCCACACTGGTGGCAGCGATGTTACTGAGAGTGTAACGAAGGTGTCACGCGCTGGGAAGGAGCTTGGTATTATGCCAAGCTCCTTCCCAGCGCGTGACACCTTCGTTACACTCTCAGTAACATCGCTGCCACCAGTGTGGGCGCGGCCATTACAGGAATCTTGAAATTTGCCCTCTAACCCAAAATGTACTCAATATATATATATTTGTGGTGTCTTTGTGTCGAATCAAGTGATTTATTTTGTAAAATTGTTCGTAAGAAATTGCTGTGGTATTGCGCATGAAACATATCGACATTTGTCAGATGCAAAATTGGTTCGAGATGTCATATGAAATCAATGTTTGTTAATAGCTATATTGAAAAAAATTAACGATGAAAAATGTTAACAGTGGATATCGAGCAAAAAACACAAAACAGAAACCAGATTTGTATAAAATTTATACCCCTTGTCATGGACTATTTTGTTTACGTA